AACAACCCTGAAAGATGATCGAATACACCAAATCCGAATGCATTATGAACCAACCGAATTGTGTAAAAATAAAAAAAACTGTGTTTTTTGACTGTGATTGTGACTGAGCCAGTGACTTTTACTGCGACTGAGTCTTCAATGTTCGCTCATTGTGCTCTAATAGAATTTAACAAGATGGACTTTTCGGAATAAAAGCTACAAAGCTGAGCCTGAATTGTGATTGTTCCCATCAAAAAAAAACACACCAACTAAAGCAAGCCACACCGACGGACCAAATTTATTCATACTTTTATATATGCACACAACAACCTGCCGCGTTCAGGGCTCTCAATGTTTACTCACGAAAGTCGTGGTGAGAATTGCCAACGCGAAGACCGAGGGAATATGTGTCACAGTTTCGTTGCAACCGGGCCAATAATCCACCGATAGCACACCAACAAAGTCCACCAAGAACGAGAGTTAAGGAAAGTCGGAACCACCCACCATCAACAGCCACCGACCAAAGTAACTGTACCTGCCGCACCATGGGCCAGACTTCAAGTCACCGGCAGATGCACTCAAGCAGCAGCGGCGGCCACAATAACAATAACAAGGAGGAGCCCCAACTGGCAGCCACACAATTCGGCAATCGTCGAACCTCTACTCGCAAGTCGACGACGTCGTCGTCGTCCAAGCATTACCCCACGTTGGTGCAGCCATTGCGTAAGGATGAGCTCTCCATATTGCGAGACTCGCTCCTGCGCAATGGCAGCATAATGCGCAAGAATCCGGAGCGGCGACCGGTGACGATCAGTGAGCTGAAGCCGGCGGCTGCTCCTGGTCAGGGGGCCAGTGGCAGCACCTTACCCACAACCGCTGAGGAGGCGGCGGGAGGCAGCAGTACCAGTACCACCCAGCTGATGGCCTTCCAGCTGCGAGTGGATCGCAGTGCCAAGACTGACGACCTGGCCGCCGATTCCTCCTCTGTGGGGGCTCCGGCCAAGGAGGGACGCAACGAGTTCTACATTGTCGGCGATGGCTACCATCGGACGGATCATTGCTATTACCGCAGTCCCAATGGAGATTTTCACAAGCTCCCATCGGATTCGTTTCACAAAATGTCGGAAGGCTGTTTCGTGCGCATGGCGGATGGAGTGTTCCGTCGCCTGGAGGTGCCCACTAAGGCACAGATATCGCGAAGGTCCTCAAGGGCTGAGGAAATCGGCGACGCCGGAGGTCACGCGAACGGGAGTGCAGCGACCAATGTGAAGAGTCAGCTGATGAGATTCCTGAAGCGTTCTAAGAGTCACACGCCCGCCACGATTGCCAAGCTGCAAAAGGAGAAGGAGGAGGCACGGGCGGAACGGAAGCAGCGACTCTCAAATGCCATGCGTCAGAAAAACCTGGCGGCCACGAATGCAGCATCTGCGGCAGGAAATTCATCATACGGCGCGGCAGGAAGTGGCAGCGGTGGTGGTACTGTCAGCAGTCGAAACAACAAGATCGTGGTGACGATGATCGAAAATGGAGGTCTGCCCATTGTGGCCACCAGCAAAGCTGAGAGGCCCAAGGCCAAGGACACCACATCAACCAGTGAGAAGGCGCGAACCTCAAGGGTATGTATCCTATGGTCATGGGTGGAAAATTGATAAAAAGTAAGAGTCTATGGTATACATATTAAATAAATTATGAGCTGGGTTTTATTGAATTTTAAAGAGCTGTCGGAAAGTAAAGAACACTTTACTTTGTTGACTATATTGTTAGAGGCTTAGGACTATATTTGTTGTGATTTAGCTCCCCTTAAAAGCCATTAAGCTTGTCGGTCCCCCACATTCGACATTTCATATACAAACATTGCGAATTTTCCTCAAAGTTTTCCATCTCTCTCACCTTACCAACTTTTTTATTCATTCAATCCAATTGTAATCGCTGTTTTGTTGTTGTTTTGCATACCACAAAGTGTCTGTATCTGTTACGGTTTTGGTTTGTGTTTCACAATCAAAATATTTACGATTCGTTTATTGACATTTCTATTATTTTGATTACGGATTTTGTTCTATTTCAGATTTTTGTTACCCCCACACATTGATTCTCCATAATCCATACGGAAACTAATACTTTTCAGTCCTATAGCATACCTTCCATTTCAGGACCTAATAATGTTAATAATATTAGGCTTAGGGGTTGATCCAGGCCTAAATAATCGCTGTACAGTTTAGATTTTGGTTGCACTTTACCGGGGACGACACGTTCATAATAGATGTTGACCTCATTACATTTCTCTGCTGTCACTGTACAAGCGAAAATTGGAGCTGTATCTCTCTAATGTTTTGTTTGGACTTGAAAGGCTTGACTGAAATCTGGTTGTCTTGTTTTAATATAGATTAAGCTGCAAGTTATTCAATTAGCTCAATTAATACGGACACGTCCGAGCGTCTCGGTTATCAGATACCTCGTTCTATCAAGTTGAACCTTACTTGTCTTGTTGAATACAAAATGATTCAATAAGTATATTAGACATTATCTGTTATTTAATAGTTTCCCAGTTTATTTGTTTACACATATGCAATTTTTAATTAATAAGGCGGCTCTAGCTTTTTGTTTAATTTACAAATTCTATGATATTGCTTCGTATATCCACATATCTATATAGCTAAGATCCCTTTTCATCCGGACTTAGAACTCAGTTACTGGACTAATTGCAAATGAACAAGATAAACGACGGGTTTTTTATAGAAAAACTTGTTCTCCATCAGATGACACATCTATTAGGAAGTGAATGCAAATTCTTTTAAACTTTCGTTGCCGTCCAAATGTTTTTCTTACGATTAGCGATTTCGAAAGTAATCTTTTTCTGGTTTCTATTTAGTGCAAATACTAAGCCTTTCCTATTATCATCAATCATCGACAATTTGATTCAGCAGAAAAATATAATTATTTATGTTTGATAACATATGTATATAGCTAGGAACAACATTGGATATTTAACCATTATCAAGAACTATTGCAAAAACTGTAGTTTTAGTTTTGTAAGTACAATTCTAATTGTATTGATGTAAAAAAACAAATACTTTTCAAATTCGTTGTCTTTAGTCATCTTATTTAATCGATATGTCATTAGGGGATAATAGGGGTTTTTATTTAATTGTCCTTGGGGATATCTCTAGTTCATTTTGTTTTTAAAATACATTTAAAGACCCTTTCTATGTTTAATAGGTTTTGCAAAAGTTTACTATCATTATAGTTGTGATTAAACTTAATTTGTATGTGTATTTAAACTTTTTTACTTGGTGAATAACTAAAAGTGCGCTAGTTGAGGTGTTTCTTTGTTTACTTGTATTTCGTTTTCTGATTTTAAGAGATAACTCGAGTGTCTGATCACTATAATTTGAACTAAATTAGCCCTTTCTGTCGGATGATGACTTAACTTCTGAAATCTTGATTTTCTTCTAGATTCTAAAATTTAGATTCTCAATTACTGTTGTATTATTTTGAGGAAACTCCCCTCCCTACCCTAACATGTCTAGATCTATAGAGTTAAATAGGGAAGAAGCTTCTTATATACCTAGATTGATTATTTATACAATTTAAAAGGGGATTTCAATGAAATTTTTTGGCTTATCGCATGTTCTACGTGTTTTCCGTTCCTGATTTTAAGAGATTTTAAGAGATAACATTACCGATGACTCCGATCGTTTTAGTATACACTTCTAAAGAGGAAGAAGCGCTTTGCGTAACCCAGGTAACCTGTGTATTGCGCACATGCGCACTCTGCTAATCTGTTGCAGCAAACACAGGTAACACAGTTCCTTCTCAGCGTTACGCTCAGGTGATATCAGTGAAACTTACACACACACAGGCACACCTCCCTAAGCGTTTGTAAATCAGCGCTTCAAATGGGGCTGCTCTTTTGTGGGGAGAATAGATGCACAGATACTTGGCGCTTGGCAGTTGGTGGTAGTGGTGCGCTCCATACTGGTGGAGACAGAGAGAGATAAAGAGAGAGATCTGCCCACTGATCGTGTGTGGTGGCTATGTGTGTATTAAGGCCGATGGCTCTGTTACCGCCGCTGCCGCAGTCGCAGTCGCTGTTGACGCCAACGTCACCGATTCCGTGCTTTGGAGTACTCGCTCGCTCGCTCTCCGGCACTCCAGTTCCAGTTGCTGAGTTGCTGAGTTGCTTTCTGGTGTGGCCAAGTGGCTCTTTGGCTGCTGAGCTGTTGCTTGCTGCTGTATATTTTGTGTCTTCTGTGTGTTTTCCGTGTGTGTTTGTTGTTGTTGTTTCCCTTGGCAGAAGTCGGTAGTGGTCGTTTACGTCAGAGTTACACAGAGCAAAGGAGGCCATAATTCGATACAGCGAGTGCAAAAAAAGTTGCGAAAGCCGCGTGCCTCCGATAAGATAAGCGCGGCTAAAGAACTCCAACCAACCAACGGAGCTAGCGACTGACGAAACGAACAACCTTTAATAATCGGGATTTGCGGGAAATGTGATTTTTTTTATTGTCAAAGTCAAAGTGAAAAAAGCAAAACCCATACTATCAAGCACTAAATATACATTTATAACCTAACTGTTTTCAGCAGTGAAAAAGTCAGCTCAATTGTCTAAAAGTAGTTCATTTGCTTTCGTGTGTGTCGCGGTGTTTGTGTGTGAGATACCAGCTGTGGCTGTGTGTGTGCGTGTGCATTGGAGCTTTTCGCTTTGCTCACTGAACCAGCGACGAAGAAAAAACGGAAAAAAAGCGTTAAAAACTAACGAACGTACATATTTCCAGATACTTGTGTAGATCTCCGCCACAGTGTAACTATTTAGACAGTAATTAAAGCAACAAAGGAAAATAGCGAAAAGGCAAATGAATCATAAAAACGAAAAAAGAGCTTGGCAGTGCTATGAGAAGCGGCGGGATGGGGGGAAAGCAAGAAAAGCGTGACACACGGGTGCGAGAGGGAGCGAGAGAGCACGCGAGCGAGCGAGAGCATCTCAGCTGGGCTTGTGCAACAGCAGCAGAGAGCGAGAGAAAACAAACACACTTACGCACACACACACCGACTCGCTCACCTCGCACAGGTGTGTGCGTGTAGGTGCCCGACTCTCTGGCTCTCTCCCCTCACTCTGTCCTCCTCCCACCACTCTGCCCGTTTTGGGGAGTGTGTAGGTATAGCTCTCCCTCTCGCTCCCGCACGTTGCTGTGTGTTTATTTCAGTGTCACCGGGGAGACAGATTAGCTCTTGTCCGCCTGTTGTCGTAAATATAACGCACACACTGGCACAGGCGACACACATGCATACATATATATAAATGGAAGTTGCTGCTGCCTGTGCTGGCTGTGTGTATTTAATTCATTTTCGAGGTTTTAATGCGCAACAACTGCGACTAGGAGACAAAAAAATTTATATAAAAAAAAAAAACAAACAAAAGCTCCGTTGAGAATTTAGAAAGCCAAATGTAAACACACACGCAGCTGTGTGTGTGTGTAGGTGTAGGTGTGTTGCATTGTACTTCCGAAAACTAAGAAACAAATATGAAAAAAACCCGCACAGTTGCAAAGCGAAATCTCAAGCTGCCGCACACAGACTCACACACAAAGCCCATTCAATAATTTTCCCAAAACTAAACTTGCAGTGTAAGAACAATAAACAGAAAGCAAAAAGCGCACAGAGAAAAGAAAAGAAAAAGTTGCGATCTCTCCGAGCAACAAGTACTGGTGCACTAATACACGCGCGCGAAGAAGATAGTGCCACGACAAAAAAGAGAAAGAAAACAGAAAAGGAGCAGCAGCTTAAATAGAGTGAGATACCAAAGCCAAAAGTGAGACGGAGAGGAGCGCAATGGAGGCCACCGGCAGCACCACGACACCGGACTTGAATCGCGGCGATGCCACCAGGAAGAGTGTCCGCCTGTATGCAGCCCGTAAGGGGGCAGCACCGGCGCCGCCCAAGCTCAGCGTTGCAACCTCCCCCAGTTCCGCCAGCAACCCAACTAATAGTAATAACAACAACACCAACAACAACAGCAGCAGCGACAACTTGCCAGAAACGGAAGTGGACCGAACATATCTTGCCACCAAGGATCTCGGATCCCTTGCAATCGTCGACGACGAAAGTGTTGTGGAGCTGCGCCGACGAGAAGTGAAGGCTGCTCCTCTGCCCCGTGTAGCGGTGTCCGCCCTTCCCACGCTTCAACCCCATCCGCAGCCCAGGGCTCCGGAGCGCCTACAGAAGCTACCGGCGCCACGCAACCTTCTGTCCACCGAGGACGATGCTGGGGTATCTTTCGCCCTCGGCTCTATTGAGAAGCACATCCACAACGTGGAGGAGAGCTTTAAGCAGCATCAACAGCAGCAGCAAAACTCCCAATCCTCGATGGACGTGATGAAGATGGAAATAAAGCGCAAACAGAGCAAGCGTTACGGCGAAACGGAGAACCTGCTGCGGCCCGGCATCAGTGACATGTCCTCGGAGAACGATTTCCAGTATTTGGGCGGACGCAGGGCAGGTGAACTGGATGACAGCAACGAGCTGATGCTCTCGGAATTCCAACGCGGCAGCGACGGTCGCAATTCAATTGGTGCCTACTCCAAGAACTCGGCGGCAGCCTCCGGCGGATCGAGTGCCGTGAAGGCCAAGCTGGCACGCACTGCTTCCGATACGAAGAACAATGACACCGTGCTGGCCATGCGCGCCACTCTCAAGCAGAAGCAACATATGCAGGACGAGAAGCAGCCGGCGGTATGGCGGCCTGCTGGCACTGCCCCCACTCCGGCGGCCAGAAGTTCCTTCACCACCTCAACCTCCACCAGTACCTCTGGGTCAACTAGTCGCGGAGGCAGCAGCAACAGTGTGGTGGACGGAGTGGCGCCATCCAAAGTGACGGCCACCACCATATCTGCGGCCAAACGACGAGAGGAGAATTTGAGGCAATTCGAAGCTTTACTGGCCCAGAAGTCATCCCACCGACACGCATCCTCAGGCGGAGGAGGATCAGGTGCTTCGGGGACCGGCAGCAGTGCAGCCAGCTCTAAGCGCCGTTCGGAGCGTCCAATTGTGGCTCCAATTCCGCCGTATAATTCCAGCCGGACAGAGCATGTAACAACCAGCAGCTCTGCAAGTAGCTCGGCCAGAGCTAGCGCGGATCACAGATCCACTACGACGCATAGTTCGGGATCTGGGTCTGGGGCTGCTGGTCCGCCGCCAGTGGGACATCATCGTAGTAGCCACGCTCCCAGTGCGGTGTCGAACCGCAGCAATGTATACAGCAACCATGTTGCACAGGTAAAAATGAAGCTTCTAGGGATGCAATTTATGTTTAATGTGAAATACAATAATAACGAAATTCCAGTACAATTTTTTTGAGGAGTCCAAATTCTTGCTCTCATAAACTGACTTCTTTAAAAGTGTTTAAACTCACAACAATATCCATAATTAATACAAAAAGGTTCTTTAGATACCTTTTATTCTTCAATTAGGACCTTTTTGGGGGAAACTGGTTATTATTACACTTACAAAAAAATAAAATTTACTTATGGTTTGTTTGCCTTATTTTTACAGGGTTCGCCTAACATGCAGATGCGGAGTAGTGCTCCTATGCGATGGCGTGCTACGGAGGAGCACATCGGCAAATATAAACTCATCAAGACGATTGGCAAGGGTAACTTTGCCAAGGTGAAATTGGCTAAGCACCTGCCCACCGGCAAGGAGGTGGCCATCAAGATAATTGACAAGACCCAACTCAATTCTGGGTCACTTCAGAAACTCTTTAGAGAGGTTTGTGTTTATCAAATAATATTAACAGATCTTCAATGGGACTAAACCTTTTTGCTGTGCTTTACAGGTTAGGATAATGAAGATGCTGGATCACCCCAACATAGTTAAATTGTTCCAAGTAATAGAAACGGAGAAGACGCTTTATCTGATCATGGAGTATGCGTCAGGTGGAGAAGTTTTCGACTATTTGGTTCTACACGGACGCATGAAGGAGAAGGAGGCACGCGTTAAGTTTCGACAAATTGTCTCAGCTGTGCAATACTGTCATCAAAAGAGAATAATACACAGGTACGGAAAGTCTATTTCATGAATTAGGACTATGTCTTAACGCGCCTACTCAACTCTTCCTCAAACAGGGACTTAAAAGCTGAAAACCTTTTGCTGGACAGCGAATTAAACATCAAAATCGCAGACTTTGGCTTTTCAAACGAGTTCACGCCCGGCTCAAAGCTGGACACGTTCTGTGGCAGTCCACCGTACGCGGCCCCAGAATTGTTTCAGGGAAAGAAGTACGATGGACCCGAGGTTGATGTGTGGTCGCTGGGTGTTATCCTGTATACGTTAGTGAGCGGTTCCCTGCCCTTTGACGGCTCCACATTAAGGGAGCTGCGCGAGCGTGTGCTCAGAGGCAAATATAGGTAAGTGTCCCAAATACTCTGATCTTTTGGTAAAGTCTGACCTGTATTTGCATATTATTCTTTCAGAATTCCCTTCTATATGTCGACTGACTGCGAAAACTTGCTCCGAAAATTCTTAGTACTGAATCCCGCAAAGCGTGCTAGTCTAGAAACAATCATGGGCGACAAGTGGATGAACATGGGGTTTGAGGAGGACGAACTCAAGCCCTATATTGAGCCCAAGGCCGATTTAGCCGATCCCAAGCGGATAGGTAAGACGGGTACTGTATACAAAATTCATTACTAATATTATTAACAGAATTGTGTGTGGAATGGAGTGTTTTGCCTGCCAATTGCTTCCTCTGTTCTATTACCTTTTATATTTGCTATGTAATCTTACTAATATTTTTGTGTCAACTCTTAATTCTATATCGAAACGCTGTTGTTTTTGATTTTGTAGTCAATTGCTGTTGTTCTTTGCCCGGGAGTCTTCCCGTGTTTTGTTATCCTTTAAATATATGTATATGCCATCATGGTTTTTCGTTTTGTAAATTCTCACACATAGCTGCGGGGTCACAAACCGGTGTCAAGAATTCGCTCTCGATTCGGCGTAGTGCATACAACTTGATGTTGATGGTGAATTTTCTGATCGACGAGCGGAAGGTGCCACGGCCATCGCCAGGGCAAATGCCATCCAAAAATGTATGCAATCATCCCGTGAATGTAGCGAAACACTCGCCGCGTCGAGAGCATTCCGCATTAACCCCCAACTCCTCTCTGTTCTCTTTCTCACTTTCTGTCCGCAAAACAATCAAACAGAATGTCCTGGAAGAGACGTCGTCGTCAGATAGCCAACCGCCGGCTCAAGAGAACGGATAAAATATCGAATAAACCATATTAAATCTTGTACAGCCAGCCAAAGGGAAAATTGAAAATAATTTTCGTTTCTTTTTGTGTACTTTTTTGTTTTTTGATGTGTTAGTTGTTGTTGCCACTGTGAATAACCATCTGTATATGCACACGCTGTGAATAAGAGAAATAAATTGTGTTCTCTGAGAAAATGCTCTTACTTCAATTAAACTCAAGTCGACAAAGCGGTTTTGCTCAATAATAGGCTGAAAATTGCATCCGGTTTGGGTCCTGCCACGGCGGTGTATACTTTTCATTTCGCTAGCTGCATGGCCACCTTTAAAACAAAAACATACAGTATACATACATACATATAGTTTTGTAACCCAATTGTTCAGTTGAAGGCCAAGAAAATACACACAATTCCGGCTACTCCAATTATCGGCGATCTGTTGTTAGCCAAAAACATAATAATATAATGTATACGTAATGAATTTGCATGCGCTATCTAAATGTACTAAATTGTTTCGAAGTTTGTCTTGAAATCCAATCTACAACCACTCACACCTAATCTGTTTTATTTCCGCATCGCGATGCTTAGAAGCTCTAGTCGCGATGGGCTACAATCGGCAGGATATCGAGGCTTCGCTCTCGCAGGTGCGCTACGACGATGTGTTTGCCACGTATTTGCTGCTGGGACGCAAGAGCACGGACGTAAGTACAACGAATGTACAATCCAGGTCGTGTGCTTAAGAAGAGTCTTTCTCCATTAGCCGGAAAGTGACGGATCGCGGTCTGGCTCCTCGCTATCACTGCGCAACATCTCGGGCAACGATGCAGGCGCCAACGCTGGCAGTGCGAGTGTGCAGAGTCCCACGCATCGGGGTGTCCACCGGAGCATATCGGCGTCCAGCACGAAGCCTAGTCGCCGAGCCTCGTCCGGTGCGGAAACATTGCGTAAGTCCCAATTATGGGGCTAACGATCTATACTTTATTTGTTTGTACCGTAGAAGCTCTCTTAGTCGGACTTGAAAAGCCTAGCTAAATTTCATTTCTCAATATTTTCAAGTTTAATTAATATTTTGATAAGAAACTAACCAAGTGAATGTTCAGAAAATAACACTATAAAGACTTGGATTACTCGAATGTAGTTTAAAACTTATTATGAAGAACTTACTGACGGCTCAAATCATAAAATTCTATTTGTAATCTGTGATCACGTACTTTTAACCTGCTCGTTTCTATCGGAATGTTGGCTGCTAAGGAAGAAGGTCCAGATTTTTGGATGAAATAATCCAAGGAGAGCTTTTACAGTCGCTAAATGCCATTACTGCGATAATTTACTAATGATTTAATACTTATTTACAGGCGTTGGACCGACAAACGCTACAGCAACTGTGGCTGCGGCGGCGGCGGCTGGCGGAGGCGTCGGTTCTGTAAATCCAAGCAATAATTACAATGCTGCAGGATCAGCGGCGGATCGAGCGTCAGTGTAAGATAGAAGCACCATTTTACAGGCTTAAGAAAACGAAATTAATTAATCTATATTCCCTTTGAATAGTGGCAGCAACTTTAAGCGTCAGAACACCATTGATTCGGCTACGATTAAAGAGAATACAGCGCGACTTGCCGCACAAAATCAGAGACCCGCTTCGGCCACCCAAAAGATGCTCACCACGGCAGACACAAGTAAGGGCAAAACAGATTACAGAATATGGCGGAACTTGATTTATTTTCAATCTCTTCAAAATTTGCAGCACTAAATAGTCCCGCCAAGCCGCGAACGGCAACGAAGTACGACCCGACGAACGGCAATCGCACAGTTAGCGGCACCAGTGGCATCATTCCACGCCGCTCCACCACGCTGTATGAAAAGACTTCGTCGACGGAGAAAACCAATGTTATTCCTGCAGAGACAAAGTACGTGAGAGTTGAGCTGGTTATAAAGCGTCTCCCCGTTTCCCTTATATGTAGTTATAGTTATACGGAATCCCCGTTTATTGTTTGCATCACATTCTCCGTTTTGGCAGAGGCTTATTTAGTTGTTCAGTCAGTTGGTAGCTGAGACGCAAGCCTGTCACCTTATCGTTTTTCTTTACCTTTTGGTTTGCACTCAAATTGGATCTGTTTCTGATCCCAATCCTGAGGTTAGAAAGCATCTAGTCGACGCAGCATCAGCAGCAGCACTACTCCCATCAATTAAGAGATGTAGAGACGAGATCGTTTAAAGTTTCCCTGGGAATACAAAACTACATTATATTGTATATATATACATAGTTAGTCACGCACAGTTCAGTTCTCTTTTTGGTTGCCGTGTGCTGTTTGGCACATTTGAAAAAAAAATTACTTCATTTTATTTTCACATTTCTATTTCATTTGGGTTTTAAAAACCTTTAACTCTTAAAACCAAAAACAATGCCATATTTACGAATACGATTCTACCAATTTTTCGGCCCAAAACTTGAAACATGCACATTTCCAGCAGTGGATCGGCAGCTCCCGTTGGGAAGGGCCATACCAAAAGCGCGTCTGTATCGAGTCCTCGCCCCTCTGCGGACGGATGCGTCTCGGTCTCGAATGACCCGCTCGGAACGAGGTATACACTTGAGTAATTTATCAAAAAAAAAAAAACCGCAAAACAACTAAACAAACAAAATTACTTTACCTTTTGATTACTGAATTTGTTTTCTAACTTCCACTGCTTTTGTTTAAGTTTCTTCTATTTTATAATTTTTAAACAATTGGCTGGCATTTTATTTGTTTTTGGGCGAATTATTGTGCATTTCGGCGGCAATCATTTCAACGAATCATCTCCATTGATCATCATTCAAATATCCATGTCAGAACAGATTCATTCAACATGAGTAACTACCATTCATAAGACATTCGATCTGCTCCATTTTATAATTCAAATACTACCTAGAAATTCAGCTCAGATGTAGAGAATTTTAGTCATTTGGTGTTTTAATTATCTATATAAAAGCAGAAAAGTTTTAGTCATTTGAAAAAAAAACATGTACTCTCATAATTTATTGCTATTTTATAGGTTAAGCTTGAAAAAAAAAGGTACTACCAAATGGATCCCCTAGGCTTACTAATTCTATTTAAATTGATTTTTAAATAATTTGAAAGCTTGCAGACAAATGAAATGCTTTAAATTACATAGAGTTTATTATTGCTGTGCGTGATTTTGACAGCTCGGCTGAACGTTAGCAATTTCCAGAGTAGGATAATCCGGATTGATTAGGTAGGACTCCTTATGGAGTCCAGCGTTGATTATAGCCAGAGTTCGTAAGGCACTTATTTCAAGAAGAGGTTAACCGCGGACAGACCTCTCTGTGAGAGAAATTATATTACCAAAATGATTGAGTCCCTTTTACGAGCTCTGGTTAGACAATTTATATATATTCCATCTTATATTAATATATGTTTACCTCTGTATTCATAAGAACTCTTAGGTATATCTCGTTTGAATTTGTTTATTAATCTTTGCTCTACTATTAGTTTAACAGTGTGCTGTTGGCCTTTCCTAGTTTCGTTCTATTCGTATTCGTTTTTTCGTATATTTATCTATATATTTATCCAAGATGTATTCTTAACGACCTAACAACAATTTGATCAATTGAATAATGTAAATTTCTTATCTTTTCATGTTTTTTACAAATATTTGAACATTGTCTGTTTACAAACCAAAACAAAAATGTCTAATTTTGATAACTACTACTACACTACCACATATGTACATCCATATTCTTTGTGGCGTTCTATATATCCGCAACTACAAATAACACCACCACCACCAACCACCTACGAAATCTGAATCTGCAACAACCAACCTCCTTCGTCTTCCTATCGACGCTCGCTCAATTATTGTACTACTCTACTATTACTACCCTTTCGATCGTAAACGTAATCGCAAAATGCAAATTGCAAATTGAAAACCTGAACAATAATAATCCAACAAAATGCAACAATTATTGCAAAACAATATTGAATCGACAAACCACGCAACAATCCGATTTGAAAATGCAAAATGCCAATGCAAAAACAATAAAATGAATGTGGTTTGAAACGAATTCAATTTGGATTCAAACGAATCGAACAAATTTGGTGAGTGAAAATGCAATATATTACGTTAAGAGATATTTATTGTGCCTCATTACACCAAGGGTCGTGGGCGTGTCCAATAATAAGAAACAATACAATAATTGCAATGGCAACGCTTGCAACTATTGCTAGAGTGTAAACACTAGTTTCCCATTTGATTTCCATCAACTTGATGGCTTTTGTATTTTGTATTTATTGCTCATTTGTTTGTTTTTGACCTCATTTTTGGGTCTCAACACCTAAAGCGACGAACACGACCCTTTTCATACACAGAAATATATTGCTTAAGTATGTACTTACTACTACAAATAGCGTACGGTTTGGGTTTAATTTTCCTAATTTGGTTCGCCTATTTTTGCATATATTTTGTAATTCATTTGAATGAAATTCAATTGGAGGCGATGCTAAGTGATTGCTATATACATACATGTGCTCCAGTTAGTTTCGAGTACCGGATCTACATCCAACGAACAGTGAATAGTTTTTTATTTCGTATTATCATTGGGAAGAGTCCTAAACAGTCACGCAACTATGCGATACCAATCCAAGTTTCTAAAATATAAAATAAGAACTCTCATCATTTTGTTTGTTTTCCCCAATGCATGCATGTCTGTCTCTGTCAGTAAAACTATATTGACTCCATCGCCAGTAAAATTGAATTTTCTCCATAATAATTGTGTGTGTTTACTTCGTTTACTTTCACTAATATGTTAAATGCCTACCTAAATTTACAAATTCCATTTGATATAGTTTGTTTCTGTGCCGCTGTTGTAACTCTTGTATCTCTCTCTACTTCTCCGAACATGATTACCATTTGCTCTCCAATGTATGACTAACAAGCATAACACTTTCAATATAATAACTCCTATTCCTACTTACGATCACCCGGGTATCGTAGCGTAATATATCCTTTTAGGATATATCCAGACGCGAGCTTAATATAATTATAGATTCAGTTGCGCAATGAATTTGCTCCATTTGAAGTACATAGAGTTGTAAAACGTGGAATCTCGAGCGACTAGCTCGAACGCATGAACCATCACATAGAACGCTTTCATGTAGACCGATGGATCGAACCTTCTATCTTATGCTGAGCTTTCTAATACAATATATAATCTATACATTCTTGCATATGTTCTCATGTTCATAAATGCCAAACCAAAGAGTTGAAGTTTGTTGTATCCGATTTTATTTATAAGAAAACGTATTTTTAAGTGCTTGTCTTAAGAAAATTTACATGATCTATTTTTATTTTTTTCTTTTCATTTTGTTTATGTCTGCGACGTGATCGATAAAACAATATATACAAAACAAAACCATAAACCCTTGGTTACCGTCATCAATTTGTCACATCAATCGAACAAAAAATGCTTGATTCGCGCTGCTCTGACCATCTACACACCCGCCTGCCGCCATTCTGCATATAAAAACCCAAAAATCAATCCAAACCGATCTTGAAAACGAATTACGAAATATGAACACACAAATATCCACCAATTGGCAAATGACGCAACATATATGGGTAACACACATATTGAATATCTGAATACCGAAAATCAACCAAAATTCAATTCGATTCGATTTGATAATGATGACCCAACACAACTGCCATTACTCATTCTATTCTCCACAACATTACAACACCCAACCATCATCATCATCATCATTATACCATGTGACGAACGTTCGAACGATTACACATTGATTACCAAACCAAACCAACTAAAAACTACAAAATCAAACAAATATTTAATGGAAAACAAACCAAACCAAACAACAAACTTATATACTGATTAAAACATATTCGTTTCCCGAAATGCGATTCATTGGATTTGAATGTACTCTCTCTCTCTATCTCCGACGAACTGATTCGATACTGATTTGATTTCCATTCCATACGTATGTGTGTATATGTATTGTTCTTGTACATATATAGTCTGTTCGATCGACTTAGAATGGCATCGGCTGTTAAATCAAGCAGACACTTTCCAAGGAATGTTCCATCACGTTCAACCTTTCACTCTGGTGAGTTTTCTGTTCACTTATTTTTATTAGTTTTAATAATAATAATTTAATTTTATCCACACCAAACCACCCACCCAAACACCCCCAACTAAAACCCCACAAATCGAACCCGAAACTATAGGCTAAAGCCATTCATATATGTTAGATGTTACCGCGTTATCGAGTGTGTTTTTTTTTATTTATATTTTATTTTCAATAACTTGGAAACAAATCCCCTCTCATGCTGCATCCGATAATAAATAGATGTCCCGCCGCACTGCACCATCCATAATTGCATTACCAATCGCGCCTCAATTATGATTTTTTTTTAGTTTTGTCAAGCGAGATTAGTTTCTTACTCCGTTCAATCAACTCGATCGATCCATTTAGCTGAATGTTTACTTTCTGTTGTCGTACATCGCATCGCTTATGATTTCCGCGATCTATAGCTGCACCCTCTCCATGCACGTTTGTCTCAGTGGTCACGTAGTACTCGTGTACTTCGATCCGATCCCGAATGTTTTGCCTGTAAATATCAATGTATGTTTTGGAAATACGGATGGAAAACTATTCATAGCGACCAAAATTGCTCAACCGATACAAAACTGACACATTTGTCTGTCCACATTCAGCTATCGCGATTTTACTAAAATAAAAAATACAAAGAAAAACTAAATAATAAAAGAAATGGAAACAACAGAACGTTGCGTGTGCCCATTGGACGAAGTGCAATGTGATTATCAGTAGGTGGTACCCGTAATCTGTAGAGTATGTGGCTATTTATAGAGTATCACTACGTTTATTTGCTGCAAGTCTGTGTAATTAATTTCAATTTTATGAGGTTAACTCGGAAATTGAAAATTGAGAGTAGATAAAAGATATCAGATATGATAATCAATAGATTATACTCAAATTTCAAAGAGTTAAACGGAATCTAAATCGACCCCCTGATTCCATAAAAGATTCTTCAAGGATTTTAATCGTTTTAGAAATATTAAATATAGTTCATTTATAGTATATAGCAGACATATAGACGTGGTAGTTATCACATTGCACTTTGTGCCCAACAATGGCATACTATTTACAAAACTCTTAAAGTATTTGACAATATGTGTACTGTAGTCTTTAATGATACAGAAAATAAAAACCCAATCAGTTTGTAGATTGTGTGTTTGTGTACACGTCACCATGTGCTGCATAGGCAATTCGATTCTAACAAAGATATTATATTACCCTTCCTAGGTCAAACCAGAGCACGAAACAACACAGCGTTGGAATACTCGGGCACAAGCGGTGCCTCCGGCGACTCCTCGCATCCGGGTCGCATGAGCTTCTTCTCCAAACTCTCCTCACGTTTTAGCAAACGGTAAGTAGTCCCAGCCAAAATATCACAAAGTGCCAAAATTCATTTCTTCAGTTAATGGAATATTACAAGAAAAGCAAATGCAAACTGCAATTCGATTCGTTATTTTTGCGTTTATTTATTTCTTACACCATTTTGTTTTTCATTTTTTCTTTAATTTAATTTAATTTCATTTAATTATTTTCCTTTTCATTTGATTTGTTTTTCGCTTACTGTTTGATTTTTCTCGTTTATCACATTTTATGTTTCATTTTACTGCATATCTGCCGCACATACATACACGTATGTATTGTATGCTCATGTGTTATGTTTTGTACCAAGTTGTCTGCAGACTGTCCGTAAAAAAATCACTTAAGCCAGCAGCTCAAAGTTATCGCTACCAAGCGCATTACAAAAGCCATGCCCATCGATGCACATAATTCAATTTAAAAAATAATAAATAAATAAAGTAGTCCAAAAGACCCGTTGGATATGCAGATGTTTCAAATTACAAAATAAACTTTATATAGAGACTCCCAGGTAGATCCTTCTTTGAGCTTAGTTCTGAGGCGGAGGGATAGCGATGATACAGGCACCTGAACAGATAAAGGAAGAAAAGCTAGAATATTTAAACAAATGAGGGGAAATATAGAAGAGTACTAAATAATTATCGATTCGGTTAATAATATGCCACATACAAAGCACTAAAAGATTAAATACTATAATTTTTCAATACTGAAAAGCACTGTAGTTGGTTGGCCCATTAAAGAAAGCTGAAAACTTATTTGTATGCACTATAGTTTTGTGTGCGATTTCTTCTGTTTGGTTAAATATATTCAATGTCAATGTCGTGACTTTCATGCAATTATAAAATCGTTTCTTTGATCCATCACCCTCTCACCAGTATCACATTTGTTTAAATAATGGAACTCTGCACAAAGTTAACAATGGATTTATTGGGCGCCAGAGACATTGAGAGGAAGAGAGGCTGATGATGACATTAAAAAAGAATATAAAATATTATACATACATAGAAAGCTGAGATCCACTAAGAGCTCTCCTACTTATTAACCGACATAACTATGCTATGCCACCGCAAAAGTTTATTGACTGAACTGATGAACAGGCTTATATGCGGTACTATTAACCCAAAGTGTAGTCCATCCCCCAATAAAATTAAAAGGGTTACAGGAACCGGCATTCGATTGCATGACGGATTAAAGAAAAGTGTAATTGGGCGTGATTTTAATATTAATAATTACCTCTTCTTTTTTTTTCTGTACTTACTGCGAACAATTGAGCTCATCATTACAAAGTTGTTACTACTTATCTTCCACTAATGATATGCACATGTTTTGTATATGGAATTTCTTTTCTGTTCTTTCTTGTTTTTGTTTCTTTATCCTCGTTTTTTTGAACTGAAAGACTTTCAGAAGGAAAGAAGTATGTGCTCTCCAAGTACATATTAAACCACGAAACACATAAACACACTCATACGCACACCCAGAGGACCTTTTTTGCTTAAGAACGGACTCGAACAGGCATATGCACGCACCACACATCGGTCCGATGCACTCACTACTGTACTACACCTCAATTGTGGTGGGTGGGTGGTTCGATTGGTTCGATTGGTTCGATTGGGTACTCGTGCATATGCCGGTTCGGTCGGTTTGGTTTAGATGCTCGCTCGCTAGCATTGCTCAAACATATTCCTATACCAAATATTTAGTTAGCATACGTACCATACCACAAACATACAGATGTACATACATACATTGTTTAACTGCCAAGCGTATGTAATATATATTCCGACTGTGGCGCTCAGCCCGTAGAAACAATGAATTAAAATGGCTAACTGGCTATTCGGTCGGGATGATAACATGTTCTGGTCGTTGTTGTTGTTGTTGAATCAAAAGTGTCAGTGTCATCGAATCGATTTGCTAAATTACTATAAACGAAATAACACGGAACTCTCTAACCACCTAACCACATATTGGTCGCAAGCAATATTCTCGCCTTCCAAATCCGACTCTGATTCAGGTGCAAAATTGAAAAAGAAAAAAGAATAATATATACAAAATAAATACAAAACGATACATACATACATACATATGTGACTACGTGAATCCATAATCTGAGATTGGCCACAACAGTAACAAAAAACAAATAAGAAAAATAAGGGGCCAACGTCTGTCGCTTCCTCTCTACGCTCTCAAATCTCCGTCACACCTTTAGTTCGTTTTATTCCTTGATTGATTGATTTTGTTGACAAATATTCTCGTACATATATATTATCTATATATAAATATTATGTAGTTTTCTAATCCTGTATATCCACGTTTGCTTTGTACAACTATGTGTGTACTTCCATTATTATATATTATCACCACACGCTAGGAAGGCTCTTTTGTTCTTGTCTCTCTTCTTTCATTTATTTGCAAAAATAAAAAACATGATCAAAAATTAATTACAATAATAATAATGCTAATTGGATAAGAAAATAAAAGAGAATGTGTGAATTATAAGACACACATGTTAATTATTATTATCAGTTTGAAGAACAATTGCGTTTACTTTTCTTTTTCTATGAAGAAACATGAAAAATGATGATGATGAAACTCTTACCACCATTATTCCGTTTTATTCTTATCTGTCTTCTTTGGTTTCATTTCTGGTATTTGTTTTTTTACCCATTATTAATATTTTTTCCAGCCGTGAATAATTTGTTTAAAATTTTTTCTTTAATTTTAGGCCAAACCAGTAATTAACAAAACAAGCATTAACTACTTCTTGTTAATAGTTCTAAAACTGAAACTGAAACTGAAACAAACGATTCCCCTAGAGTAAACGCGCGTGACGGAGAGAGGTTCAGATATGAACAGAGACAGAGAAACACAGATATGATCGAATTCCGATTGGATCGCATCGGGATATGATACGATATGGTTACCGATCCGATCGATATCACTTTCGATTCCAATTCCAATTCCGATACCGATCATGATCCCGATCCTGATCCTGATCCCGATCCCGATCCCGATCACGATCCCGATCCTGATTACGATCCCGATCCCCCGGTTTCGATTCGAACCCCTTCAAATGAACACCGACAACGTTGAGTTCCGTTGCGTTAATTGAAAATTTCACAAATGCGCCTATGTTTTATTACAATTATTAACTAATTATACATTATAAATTTATATAAATTAAAGATACATATACATATATATATATATATTTAAAAGTAAAGCAACCACAAACAGAAATTACGAAACCTTTGTTTTCATTGTTTGTAAAACGATGCGAGGAGCGACCGACCAGCAAATGGCAATATAAAATATAAACTAGAGTATATATATTTAAAAAATAAAGCAAAACGATACCGATACCGAAAACCGAAGCAAATAAAGAAAAAGTTAAATAAAAAATGCAATAATCAGAACGAAATCCCGACCACTATTGCTGTGTCACTGTCACGATTATGGATTACAATTACTACTAAATATTACACCTACGAGTACTACCTAAATATATATACATCTATATATATATATATATTTACGTTAAATGCGTATCGCAATTATAGTTAATGAATAAAAGAAAAAACAAAAAGATATATCACTGAGCGTGAGAGGAAACTGCTAAGAGTAAAATCTAACTTAAGCCTAACTCAACTAAAAACCAATCTAAAGAGTAATGTGTAAAGTGTAAAGTGCGTGGTGTTTTTGCCTACATCATTCATTAACTTATAGTGAACACACACTCACACTACACAATATATAGACAACACCAAAAGAAGTTGCTAATTTTGTAACGATGATCTTGAACTTTATTTAGCGATCTTTGTATTTATATGTGTATGTATGTATCGTATGTATGGATCTGTATTTGTATTCTCCTATATGAGCTTGATCTTTTTTTTTTTAATTGTATCCGTGGATCATACAATCAACCAACCAACCAATCAATCAAATCAAACAACCAACCAACAACAAACCAACCAACCAAGCAGCCAGCCAGCCAACTAAGATCTTGCAAATCATAAAAAATCACACAACCACTGTGCGCAGATGCTGAACTTTATGAGGCGCGAAAAATGCCAGACGTGCAGCGAGCGTGTAACTAGTATTTAAGCATATACCACGTAGTCACTAAACAAAACAAATTAAACTTAAATCCAAGGAATATAACAATGTATTACCTACCACTATAGTGCATGTGACCATTTTATTTGTACAGCTGATGTATCTATAGAGATCCGTGTTATCATCGGCCGCCGCCTTCAGTGGCTCGATCAGTAGTTATCTATACATATTAAGTTTCAAAGAAATAACGCATAAATTTAAAACAATTGATAATTTAATAAAAACCATAATAATAAATGATGTGAAACATTTGTGAGCAAATGAAAACCCCACCATATGCATTTCAATTTTATTCCATTTATTCATATTAAAAGTTTTCCAAAATACTTTTGGGAGTCTCGAATAGTTTGAATATTGAAAAGTTGTTTTCGTAGCAAAAATATATCTTTGGGTTAAAAATGTCTCCCTATTGGCAGGTTTTTTGGTACAAAGAATTTACCAACCGACTAACTTATTGAACGCTGGCTTAACTAAGTATATACATAGATTCTTGCTTTAGTTATTAGTAGTTTTAGGGGTCCAAAACTATTTTTTTGCGGTCTTTATTTTTGTACATTTATTTTAATTTTTGGTAGCGAGTATTTTCAAACTGGATAGGTACTTCGACAACAATAAAATACTTGCCGAAAGTGTTATTACCTTACTTTACCTATAACCCTAAAATTATTCATCAAAAATCCTTAACAATAACGTATTAATATGTACTTAGTAAGGCAAGTTAACAAGCTAGTAACTCAAACACACCCATCATTTACAGTCGTCAATTTCTTAACTTAATTATTAATAATTAAAGGAAAAAATTGTAAAGTATTAGGAAAGACTATTTATCCTAAAAACTGCTTAAAAGAGACTTATGTTAGGGCAGCAAAAAAGATCATTTATTTATTGTGAGCTCTGATTGTATACAACTTCAATAGATATTAAAAATTCTGCAGAACCAATAAGGTGTTTCAGCAAATTAGTAATACCAAAAGTTCCTAAAACCAAATGCAGTTAATTATTTGAAAAATAAATAAGAAAAGAAGTGAATATAAAAACTGTGAAAGCGTTAATTGGATTGCTCGCTCGACTGTCGTAATTATAAAATGCGTATACCTATACTTGCAGTCAGACAACCACGGAAGAGCCGGCAAAACCACGAGTATTGCGCTTCACCTGGTCCATGAAGACAACTTCGCCACTGATGCCCGATCAGATAATGCAAAAGATCCGGGAAGTGTTGGACCAAAACAACTGTGACTATGAACAGCGCGAGCGGTGAGTAACAACAGTCACTCCTTAGTTAGACTTAAATTTAATTTGTATTCCATCTATTCTAGATTTGTCCTCTGGTGCGTGCATGGAGATCCCAATACCGACTCCCTGGTGCAGTGGGAAATTGAGGTGTGCAAGCTGCCACGCCTGTCCCTGAATGGAGTTCGATTCAAGCGAATTTCCGGTAACTAAATTATAGTTTATTTAATGTTAATCGATTTCATAACAAAATATATTTTCTATATAACTAACCAGGCACCAGCATTGGCTTCAAGAACATTGCGTCTCGCATTGCTTTTGACCTCCGGCTGTGACTTAACCAAACGAACAACGAGGGGAATGCTGCCGCCGCCGCCGCCTCAGGGGCCACCGAGCCGCCCGACAACATCTCCACCGCCGCCACAACCTGTCGGAGAGCCAGCAACGACAGCACCTCCCGGCTGTCGGAGCTCTCGCTGCTGTGCCGCTCGTTAACTAGTCAGCAGGGGGGCTCTCAGCGGCGGAAGAAAAGCAGGCTGTCCACGGGCGGCAGCGAAGATCAAAAGAAATCCAACTCGTTGCTGTCGGCGTTTCAAATGTATTCACCGTTTAGTTCTAAGGAGAACTTGCAGTCCAGTGAAGAGGTGCAAGACCTTCAGGTGATTGACACCCAGCCTGGTCACTCGATAGATGTACCCCTGTACCAAGCTGACTTTAATCCAATTAATCCGATTTTGGAAGAAGAGCCCGCCGATATCGCGGATAATAAAAGGAGTGACAAAGGTGGCGGAGATGGGGATGGTGCTGGTAGCAGTGGACACAAGAGCAAGGGTGATGGCGGCGGCAATCGTTTGAAGCGAAACATCAAGCACACTGGGAGTTTAATTGTGCGTAAATTGACGTCGGCCAGGCAAGGCGACACGGACAAAAAGGGAGGTGCGACTGGAAAGAAGGAAAAGGAGCAGCAGGAAACGGCAGGAACGGATAAGGAGAAACCAAGCAACAGCAAGCCGGAAGGAAAGATAGCCATGCTACGCACCACAACCCTCTAATGCAATGGAACATGGCTGCGTGGCATGGAAATCAACTTGAATTGTGGGTCTGTTTGTATGGATCCCTGCTGGAATCTCAAAAAAACAAAAAAAATATGAATGTTAGCATCTCTCTCTGTAGATGGAACGTATAGAATATATATAACTACACATAACAATCAAGCGCAGACAAACTCCTCCTCTATCTATCAACACTGACATGCATTAGCACCCACATACATAGATACGCACATATTTACATACGTTAATTAATAGGGAACTAGTTAATGGGCCAGCACAGGAGCATTGGTCAATAGCGAGAGCAGGAGCGGAGGCAGGAGCAGAGCTGAAAGATACACAAGTGAATAACTAAAGGGTAACAGACAGAAACACACAACACTCAATAAAACAATAACAATAAATATATTAACAAGAAACCAATCAACGCTCTATAAACTGCATTTATGTGCCGATATATCCAGTAAACAATTTTGCTTGGCAAACAAACAAAACGATCAAAGAACACAATATATAACATAGATATCCAAACTCGGGTTGTTTCATTTTAAACCATATTTTTCAATAAAAAGAGAAAGAATAAGGCACGAGGTATGTTTAATATAAAATGTATTCATGATAGCCAAAGTTCTTCTTCTACTGTATCGGGATGTGTTGTTGAATCCCAAGACACCAACACCAACACCAACACGAACACGAACACCATTAATTGTAATTATTAGGCTCGTGCTCGGGAATACGTATATAGTTGGTACTTACATACCAATAGATTTTGGTTAACTTCCCTCGATTTGAACCGTTCATAGAACATTACACACACCACACAGAGACACAACAAATGTATGTATATTACTCTGTTAGGGCTACAAGTTCACAACATATAAAAAAATGAATTTTGAAACATGCAAGCTCAGATGCAATTGTGGCCAATTGTTACCTAGTTTCCACTAAGTTCAACTTAGCCCCGAGAAAAAGACGAGCCGTTGTGAAGCAGATTTTTACGAAGCATATATGCCGATGCAAATGCAGTTGATGTTACGAAAGTAAAGTAAATGGGTAAATGTTGAACGAGGAGCGATCAACGATCTCAAGTGAGATGTAGAAAAAAGACGACCATTTATCCAAGTTGTGGAGGCTCAAAAAAAAAGAAGAAGAAAATAATAATAAAAACCAGTCTATATAGATACCAAACATATATACATATAGTTGCACATCACGTTGTCTTCATCATGATTGTAACGCATTTCTGTAATTCTTATGTAACCTTCGAGAAAAGCATGCATCGTTTTATATATACATATTTGTTGTTGTTAAATGACAGCTAATTGAAACTTATTAATAATTACTAGACTAGGCAGGCAGAACAGAACACGCATAAACCACACATAAGTATATAATACATGCATAATAAATATATAAAGCAAGCTTATTGAAATAATACATATATGTATATGTACGCCGAAAGATATCCTCAAGTAGAGCGCTGGACCCACTCCCCCGTCCCCAGAATGCACATCTATCTTTGTGCTAAAACTACACGTTAATCATGTTTTTTATTTTTTGTTGTCGGCCAGTTAAAATGTATGTTTTGGCACGCCCAGATCCAAACTGCACAATATACGATAGTTGTATTCTCATTTCTGATATTTATTTCCCATTTTCCAACGGTTAAGTTGATGTAAAACAAAAGCGAATGATTTGAATGATTAATTGATAACACCACTAAATCAGAAATAAAAAGGATAAAGCCGTTTATAGAATTTACGAATAATCATGTTGTAAGAATATCTGATATACATACATACATAGATGTTTTAATTAATAAATACGAAATGGCATAACTATATGGTAATTAGTGTTCGTTTTTTTGCGTACAAATAATTTAAGTGCCTGCCTGCCGGTCGGTCGGTAAGTCTTTTGGTTAGAGTGGCATGTGCGATGCGAGAAGAAGTTGTAACCTGGTTGGTGTGCTGAAGTGCTGGAAATTCTCAGAGCTCGTCATCGAGGTTGAAGTCTTCAGGTGGGAAATCGCCAACTGTCACAGATAAAGGTGACACAAAGCCACCATAATTGGGGGCACAGCTAAAGTACGCCTTGCCAGCGACGCTGTAAGAGTAAATAGAAATAAATTACTATTTAAGATTGGGTTTGGTACTGTCTTAAAATACGAAAGATACTTAGTTTTTAACTTTAGTTAATTAATGTTTGGTTATCATATGTTACAATGTTTTTGCTTGATGTCTAACTTCGAAGCTTACAGAAACGAATTCTTTAAGGCTTTTTACATATTGCTCTGGGTAAGAGCATCCCAAACTGACACTCCTTATAAATAGTTAATACCTTCCATTGTTCTTGCCCAGCGGCTCATCGTATTCTATTCCAATGAAATGACCATTTTTCCCCTCCAGTTGGCCATTGTATCTGATCGTTCCACGCCGCGTGGGATTGCCTGGAACGGTGACCTGAAACGAAAAGTGGTTACTTTAGCTTACTTTAGAGCTAAAATCTCACTAGGTTACCTCGCATCTGGCTCCAATGACGCACAGTTCTGCCCTCTTTTGGATCTCCTCTGCCTGGAGGCGCCTCTTCTCCTCCGCCTGCTGCATCTCCTCCTCGTTGTATTTTCCCAGTCGATTCTGTTTGAGGTAATTACGTACGGAATCGGTCCGCTGCTCATACTGATCCTTGGTTAGTTCGAATTTCTCGACAGCAGCGCTGTCGAAACAGAAGCTCGCAAAGCTGTCGATGACGTGCAGGCGGAGGCCATCGCTGTTGGCATAGTAACCCAGCAGGGCGTCGTTGTTGTCCAGCGTGGATAAGCAGGTGTCACCTTTGTAGACCTCCACCTTCATGGTGCCAGCACAGCCGCCCGTCAGTATCTCCAGCTTGCTCTAGGGAAAACACATTCTTGAACAAATTGCCATATGTTTACTCTCTAGTTCACATACCTTTAGCTGAGCTACTGTTAGATCCTTGGCGAACTTCACCTGGAAGGCGACGGCGTCATTGTGCGAATTGGACACATTTGCCACGATGAAATCCGATTTACCCGGCTCAGTTATCAGCGCCATCCTGCGATTCTTTGGAAATGTAATAAGTTGAGGAGAGATTGCTTTCTAAATTTCACCAGTAAAAACCGGGTGTTACAATTATAGGCTATATTGATCTGGAGAAATTCTGACTAATAAGCCGTGTTGTCGGTAAGCAAAAAACGCGTTAGGGCTATTTAGGAAATGCTGAAAGCTTTCAGAAAAATACCAAAGAAATACCAATATCTGTCTAATAAAACTGTTATTTATATTTAAATATTTGTAAAAAGGAAAGTACTCATTTTTAAAAATTAAAACTTAATAAAAAAGATGCAGCTTTTTTCACACGAAAATGTAGATTTGAGGAATGCAAATATTTTTTAAGCCTTCTTGAGAGCTTGAGAGAAATTAAAGAACAAATTTACACGTATTTTCAAAATTCATATTAATTCATATCAATCTTTCACCTATAGTACTTCTCTTCCAATATACATATATATTAATCAGAAAAACAAACATTCTTTCTTCCGTGATATATCAAGTGTATTTTGTGCCTGGCATCTTATAAATATATATCTATTTTTTGGTGTTGTGTGATTATGTGCAGTCTATTCGTTCGCTTCAGTCCTTTAATTATTCGATCTTAAGAGGCGGCTAGAATGTAAGGTCTAATGTCCTCCACATCCAGGAGTTGCTCCGGAGCCACCTGCTCGCCGCACATGGGACACTCGCCATTCTCCGACAGAATGCTGTAATGCGGAAAGCGGTAACTATATGATTTTAATTTACATATTTTAATCTATGAGCTTACTTCTCCATCTCGGCCCGGAAGCAGAGAAAGTCACACTGCGGACAGGAGGTCATGAGCTGCTTGATAATGTGCTGACCCGTGGCAATGCAGATGGGCAGCGTAGTTTTGCAGCTGTAGCAGGTTACATCCATGTTGGCCAGGTTGGAGTCGCATATGGGGCACTCCATGGTCTCGTCGTCGATCTCATCCCTGAGCTGCTTGATACCCTTGGGAGCCTTGCGAACAATTGACTCGATCTTCTTCGAATAGCGGGGATCCAGCTGGTTTCTGTAGTCCGGACGCATCAGAGTGGAGGCATAGGTGAACGCCGACTTTTTGAGACCAGCTCGATGACACTCAATCACCGTGGAGGTAAGTATGGGAATAATATCTGCAGATGGAATACAAAGTATATCAGTCATAATCATTTACAGTTCTTACAGATACAGCTCTTACGCTCTGGAAACTGTGAGATACAGGCGGCAACCTGGACGAGCAGTTTGGCGGCCAGCAGATGGTTGCCCAATTTAACGTGAATCCTCACCAGGGTGTAGCGATGCAGCAGGATGAACTGGTGGCGCATCTCGGCCGTTACAGACAGATTGTTGCGGCGCAGCTCCTGGTACATTGAGTATAGCAGATCCCTAGCTGATTTGTAGTTGCCAGCGAGTTGCTCTTGGTTGGCAATAATAACAGCCGTCTTGGCCGCATCCTTGTAGTGCTTTCGGGCCATGTATAAACGGAACAGATACCGCGGATCCTTGGGAACTCCATCAACTTCGCCCAGCAGAAATTCAATGAGCTGCGAGGCCAGTTGTTCGTTATTTGACGTGGCCACACAATCAATTGCCAAGGAAAGGGAGACCTGCTCCTCGTTGTTAAACGCCGAAGCCTTTAGCAGAAACCTCAAGGCCTTGGTAAACTCCCTGGCCAGGAAGTAGTACTTTCCCGCCAGCAATGTGTACTTCTCACCCTCGAAGTAATGGGCCAGCGCCAGATAGTCAGAGGACTTGGCGTTCTCATAACGTTCTAGCAGCTCACCATGGCGGCGCAGCTTGTTATGCCGCTGGGCGAGGGCAAAGGCCTCCTCCACGCAGCCGCATATGACGAGAAACTGCAGAGCTTGCTCCACGTCGCCGATCTTTTGGTAGAACTTGGCCAGCAGCTTGGCCGAATCCATTGAACGCGACTCTAATACGATTTCAGAGGCCGAATGGGGATCGCAAAGGTGGTCCAGATAGATTCGGACACAGGCATCCAAGTCACCGGCCACGCGATAACTTCGTATAGCTTCCTCAAAGTGGCCATCGTTTTCTTTGGCCTTGGCATACGCCGCATGCAGTTTTGTGCTCTTCACCTTGGGCAGCACATTGTTGGCCTTGTGCCACATCTTCAAAGCAATGTAATGGCCACAGGCCTCGTCATAGAAACCACCGCGTTCATACAGACCCGCGGCCTCGGTTAAGTGGCCCACGGTGGCCAACAATTCAGCACAGTCGAAAAGCAGCTGCTTGTCCTCCAGCTCCACAGCATATTGGATCTTTAAAAAATAGTTTTTCGGTTATTTCTATTTGGATTTATTTTGGGTTATTACTCACCCCCGCCTAAAGTCCCTGCTCTGATAGAAGTCCTGGCAATGCCCATTTTGCATAGACGCACATGCTCTTCGTACTCAGGGGAGCTTTCCATTGTGGCCGGCTGTTCGGTGTCCTTGCTGTTGATCAAATCTTCCTTGTATCCCTTCTCATAGTGATACAGGGCATCCGCATAGTTGCCACTGAAGAAGAGAACAGTCTATTAAGAACTAGGATTAAATATAATAAGTTGATTGACCCACGTGAACTCCAGCTGCTGGGCATACTCCCTAGCTATATAAGGCACTTCTTGCGGATCGTGCTTATGAGCCAGGAGTAGCGCCTGATCCCACTGCAAAAGGTCGCGAGACAGCTCCAAGGCGGCCCTGGTATAAACTCCTTTAAGCATGTGCTCCTTGGCCTGCTCGTACTGGGCCAAAAGCATGCAGCAGCAGCCGATAAGCATGTCTAGGTCCTCAACGTAACGTAACTCAGACAAAGCATTAACCAGAGCCGCTTCACCCAACTGGCGATAGGCTCTAATGGCTAAAAGATTGAATTTAAAATCTGAGCTAAAAAGAAACACTTATCTCACCAATATCCGGCTCCAGATCAGCAATGGCCTGCTCCCCAAACTCTCGCCAGGCGCTGCTCAGGTTCATTTGCTTGCACAGCTTGTAGGCCTCGTCATAGTTCCTCAATCTTAGAAGCACCTGAAGATTAGCTGTCTGGCTATTGCTGGGATTCACCACATGGGTGCTGAGAGATTGGGTCGCATACTGGCCACCATCCACATGGAGCGCCATTTCCCCGCCGCACAGAAGCAGCGGGAACTGCCCCGGATTCAGCTTGGACTCTCCCACCTTCAAGGTATGCGTACCTTGCACAGAGTGACGCACAAAGATATGTGTGTTTACGATCCTTGCATCGTAGCTGATGAAAATGTTTGGCTGCGTGAGATCCCACAGACAGCCCATACACTGTTTGGGCATTTCGGGTATGAGCAGGGCCTCCTCGACGGCGGGCAGGAACAGATAGCCTTGGGCATGGTCGTCGATGAAGATGGTCTTGGTGCCTTCAATGTCCATAAACAACTGCCGGATGCCCATGCTGTGACGATATATAGTGCAGCTATCCCACTTCTCCAGCGAAAAGAAGACCAGGTGACCGATCTGAAATTGCCAACAGAAAATGAGCATCTGAATACCTTTTTAGTTGTAAGCTCGACTTACATCGGTGGCAAAGATTAGCATCTCCTGGCTGAGGGTAAAACATGTGATCACCGCATCGCTGGGCATGTTGGGCAGGGCGTTAGGAAACACCGCCTGCAGCTTGTCCTTGCAGTTGGGATTGTCTGTGGTAATTGCCTGCAGGATTAGCTGAGGCGGGCAAAGGGCAGCACAGTAATCCGCATTTAGCCTCATGGACTCTATGGTTCTCGGAAAGTCTCGCTCATTTAGTGGGTGAGGCTCGTCGCCCAGGCTCTTGCCGAGATCATAGAACCAGACGTGCTTGTCGATGCCTGCCGCAAAATTATAAGGCCCCACAGCCATAAAGGTGGGCTCTCCCTCCAGTGGCAGACGGAAGGGCAGCGACTTGGACTTGTCCGGTGCGTACACGTAGATGGACACCTCGGCCAGACTACTTAGCATCACAATCCGTGGGGCAGATACGGCGAACAGGTGCGGCAGCTTGGTTACATAGATGTAGACAGTGCCACTGTTTGTAGTTACTGCCAGCAGCTGGCCATCAGGGGACCAGTCGATCATTTGAACGCCAGCATGATCCGGCACCGTGATGATACGCTCCGTTTCCTGAAGATTCGTGATTGAGTGAATCTTGATGCTACTTAAAACATCAGGAGAAGAAATGAGAAACTGAGACGCCAGATATATTCACCACTCACCTGTCATCTCCGCATGAAGCTACAATATCCAATGTTGGGCAGTAGGCCAATCCCGTCAACGTATCCTTGTGGTTCTTCACCTGCCACAGCTCCTGGCCCACGTCCTTGGGATGGGTGGAAATGGCCACCACATGACCGTTGGAGAAGCCAAGCAGTATGTAGCCATCGCCAAACCATTTGTGCTGCATCAGTGACCCGTATCGGCTCTGGAAACCCAGCTCCGTGGGATTCTCCGGCTCAGGGAGGTAGTAGAGGAACAGTGTCCGTTTGCCGATGATCATGCTGATGGCATTGTCACCGGCAATGCGGTCGTCGTTAGCCATTTCGGCAAAGTACATGTCGGTGGGGGCGTCCCGTAGCTGGACAACTCGCACTGTATCCCCTTCCTCATTGCTCAGCGAGAAGCTCTTGTCCTCCGATCCCAGAGCAAGGAGGTTTTGAGCGGACCAGGCGCCGCAGGTGATCCGCTTGCTGTGCTTGCCCAGCACCGGCGTGGGTCGCTTTCCGCTGCGGTGGTTGTAGATTGCCAAATTGCCCCGACCCGTGCCCACGGCCAGAAGTTGTTGCTGCTTGGACCACAGGATGCAGGTGAGCGGATCCCGCAGGCCAGTCTCCACGCTGACCTTCTCCTGGCTGGTGTAGTCCCACAAAGTGATGTTTGGGGAGCCGCTGGTTATGATGCCCAGCAGGTCACCCTCCTGGTCCCACGCGAATCCCGAGCAGAGTCTGGATAAGCAGAGGACATGTATAATTAAAGAACAATTCTTTTCGGATCGATACCACCTTACCCTGCCAGGATAATGCGCTGCACAAGCTGCCCCTGGCGGTTGTACAGAGCCACGGAGCCATCTGTGCCCGTGGTAGCCAGCAGAGCCTTCTGCCAAATGAAGTAGACGTCGCCGATTCCGTGTGGTTCGTCATATTTGTACAATATCTTCTCAAAGGACATGTTTTACACTTCGAGATTGAGTTATTTCTACCTTTCTACAGATACATTCTGCGGTCTGCCATTTTCCGGGTTTTGTTTACGAGTTTTCCGTTACCATGGCAGCAGCGATCACAACTACAGGCAAACATTTGCAATTGTGTGTGTGTGCTTTTTGTGCACCTGTTGATCTGCAGTTTCAAGCCGGTTTTTATCCTTTATTATTCATAATCAATTTATTGTAGTCGAATTTATTTTAATTTAATTTCTTTAAAAAATATAAATACCAATTTATTGCGACATTCTTTAATTAAATAAAATTCAAATTTCAACTTGTTTGAGCCATTATTTTTGGCCTTAGCCAACACTGTAGCCAGCTGATTTTTCGCTGGTGACGTCACTGCTGCTCTCACATCTCTAACCAGCAGCTGTTTGTGCTTAGATTTGCAATAAATTCACAATTTACTTAATTTCTTCTAAAATATTAAATTAATTGTTTGCAAAGCGCTCCCCTAAGATGTCGGATGACTTGCCGGACCAGTTCGACCTGGTGGTCATAGGCACAGGTAACCGTTGGGATATAAACTCCACATTAATCTGTCGATGACTCATGCGACGGACGCCCTTTTTAGGTTTCATCGAGTCCTGCATTGCCGCGGCAGCCAGCAGAGTAGGGAAGTCAGTGCTGCACCTCGACCACAATGAGTACTACGGCGATGTTTGGGGCTCCTTTACCATCGACGGCCTGTGTGAGCGCTTGAGCAAGGAGTGCGGAGCCCACTCAACGTTGCGAAATTGCAGTTACACCTGGCACGGCTCGGAGAAGGAACCCGAGACGGAAGCCATGGAAGTCCAGGGCGGAGAACAGAAATGGAACCGTGAAACCATGCTGGCCAAATCTCGTCGCTTTAGTCTGGACCTCTGCCCACGCATCCTGTACGCCTCTGGGGAGCTGGTGCGGCTACTCATTAAGTCGAACATCTGTCGCTACGCCGAGTTTCGAGCCGTGGATCATGTGTGCATGCGGCACAACGGTGAGATCGTGTCAGTGCCCTGTTCCCGCAGCGATGTATTCAACACGAAAACGCTGACCATTGTGGAGAAGCGACTGCTGATGAAGTTCCTCACCGCTTGCAACGACTACGGCGAGGATAAGTGCAATGAGGACTCGCTGGCCTTCCGCGGCCGCACCTTTCTGGAGTACCTGCAGGCACAGCGGGTGACTGAGAAGATCTCTTCGTGCGTTATGCAGGCGATCGCTATGTGTGGCCCCGACACCACCTTCGAGGAGGGCATGCAGCGTACGCAGCGATTTCTGGGCAGTCTCGGTCGCTACGGCAACACACCCTTCCTCTTTCCCATGTACGGCTGCGGGGAGCTGCCGCAATGCTTCTGTCGATTGTGTGCCGTCTATGGTGGTATCTACTGCCTGAAGCGAACTGTAGAGGACATTGGTCTGGACGAAAATACAAATGAATTTGTGCTGAGCAGCGCGGGGAAAACTGTGCGTGCCAAGAATGTGGTATCCGCTCCAGGTTATCCTCCCGTTTCCAGCGGCACTGAAATGAAGCCTCACATATCACGCGGCCTGTTCGTGTCCGCCAGTCCCTTGGGCAACGAAGAGCTCAATAAGGGCGGCGGTGGCGTGAATTTACTGCGACTTGTGGAGGCGGAAGGAGGACGAGAGGCCATCCTGATACAGCTGTCCCATTACACGGGGGCCTGTCCAGAGGGATTGTGTAAGTATCTGTGTGGGTTTTTCGTAATTAAACTCATGCTTAATGCACATTATCCACAGACATCTTTCACCTGACCACGCCTGCTATAAGCGAGGATCCTGCCACCGATCTAGCTGCCTTCACTAGCCAACTCTTCGAGCAATCCGGCTCGGATATTATATTCAGCTCCTATTTCACAATTGCTACCCAATCCAGTACAAGTACCGCCGGCGAGCACATTTACTACACGGATGCGCCTACTTACGAGGTGGATTACGATGCTGCCATTGCTAATGCCCGGTTCATATTTGGCAAGCTTTTCGCTGACGCTGAATTCCTGCCGCGTGCCCCGGATCCTGAGGAGATTGTCGTGGATGGCGAGGACCCCAGTGCCTTAAACGAGCACAGTTTGCCCGAGGATTTGCGGGCGCAACTGAAGGACATGCAGCAGGCCACTCAGGAAATGGATATTCAAGACTAGATGGAGGAATAATTATAGGTCACAACGTTGCTGATAGGTTAAACGAAGTTTTAATCGAGTTTGTATACAATTCTTGCTTCATATATTCCTTTATATTTATTGTGTAAATTATTTATAATCGCTAAAAGTCTAGGTATATATAAATGTTTTTATGTGAGTGCTTCTGTGCATTTTGCTTTGAGAAATATATATATCTTTTCGAAAAATATGCATTCCATTGCGTATAAAAATGTATCTTTCCTCTTTTTTTGTTATCATTATTATTTTTTATAATTATTGCTTGACGACGGTTACTGTTTTGTTTTCGCACGACGACGACGACGAAACTAAGGGTAATCAAAGAGATTATTACAGTTAATAGTTAACGAGGGAAGAACGAATAATGTTAGTCTTATAAATTAGAATAAGGCTTGGGCAGTTGATTATGCCAGGCAGCTAAGAATACAAATTTTATTCGAACAGATCAATTGAATAGGGAAACCGAACTAAAATGTAATGCAAACGAAACGTGTAACAAAACAAATACCTAATGATTCGTGCTGGAAGGTTTTGCCGACGACGACGAATGCTCCTCTGACCACATATTTCATTTATGTTTTCACTGCATTTTACAATAAAGCTTTTGTGTTCTCCTTTCTTGTGATTTAAGGTTTTTTTCGGGGTCTTTCCTTTATATTGAATTCGCTCCGAATACGGATAACTACTTAACTATACAGCAAATGTATATGTTGGTAGCGTTCGGGACCTATTCAAGCTAAAGGAAAGAACCCTTTTGTGAGTTGAAATTGCCTTTTTAGTTGCCTTGCAAAATTTTGAGTTGCGTTGCTATATTCCTATATCTTAATTAGATTATTATTGATATTCTGCTGGCGTTTGCGCTTCGCGTTCATGGCGTCCACAATGGGCTGCCGCTTGGCATTGTATTTCTTGTTGAGCTGCTCGATCTCCAGCTCCATCTCGTGATCGATGTTGCACAGCCGCTGATTCAGATCGTCGAAGGTAAGGAACTTGAGGAACTCAAATTCGCCCTCTACATACGCATGTGACTGAGTGTGCATGTGCTGATTCTGATATGCGGGCGGTGGCTGTGCCGGTGCCGCCGCCGCTGCCGGTATTCCCTGCTGACCCAATGGGGCTGCGTTGCTCAGCAGTAGATTCTGCTGATTGTTGAGCGCTATGAGCTGTTCGTTCATCAGGGGGTAGGCCATGAGGACCTGCTGCTGCTGCTGGTGCTGCTGCAGACCATACTGATTGATGGCGGAGATCTGCTGGAACTGCATTTCCATGTTGTGTTCCCAGTTGTTCACATCGTTGGCCCCGCTGGCCAAGTGCTGTTCCTCCTGTTCCTGCAGCTGCTGCTGCTGTTGTTGCTGCTGTTGCTCCGCTGCCGCCGGAGAGTACTCGGTGGCCATGGATTTGTCATCGCCGCGAGCATCGCTAGTATTCTTACGTTCAAAGTGTTCCAGGAACTGCGGTCTGTAGCGGTTACGCGGCTTCTGGTCGTCATTGCGTTTGGCCGTTGTGGAGTCGTCAGAGTCCGAGTTGATAACCATGGTGCCTGAATATCCAAGATAATAATAAACTTCTTACACTAATCTTTTGTTTATCAGCAATCTTACCCAAATTGGACTCCAGTTCCACCATGGTGCCGCTATCTACTGCTGCCACGTCCAGGGGAGAAGCAGCGGAGGTAGCCGCTGCTCCGGCAACTGTGGGACCCGCTTCCTTTGCCATATTCCTCAGGCCGCCTGGTCCCAGAGTGCCCTCGTCTACGTCCTGCTCTGCATGTGCTATCATGGTGGCATCCGATTCCGAGGTCTGCTGACCGAACTTCTCCGGCACTAGAGTTCCCGGGTCCTCGATGAACACGTTGTCTAGTATGCTCTGCAGCATTCCGTTCTCCTGCGTGGGCAGATTCTTGGCCTGACTGGCACCCAGAATGCCGCCGGCACTTCGGTTCGCCCGCTGCTGCTCGCGAATGGCACAGGTCTCTTCAATCATCGGCTTCAAGATGGATCGATGCTTGGCATTCCGTATGAATTCGTGCTCCAGCAGCTCGGTGGCCGTGGCTCGATCGTCCGGTTCCTTGACCAAGCATTTGCTCACAAAGTCGATAAACTCGGTGCTCCAGCGGTCAGGCTCGCAGAACGAGGGCGGCGGCTTTTGGGGGATCATAAAGATGGCTCTCATGGGATGGATAAAACCATACGGCGGCTTGCCCTCGGCCATTTCCAGGGCGGTGATACCCAGCGACCAGATGTCCGCCACACAGTCGTACCCGATCTCCTCGATCACCTCAGGGGCCATCCAGAAGGGCGTACCAATGACTGTGTTTCGCTTGGCCATGGTGTCAGTCAGTTGGCCGGCCACACCAAAGTCGGCCAATTTGGCGTAGCCCTCGGTGTTGAGCAGGATGTTGGCCGCCTTGATGTCGCGATGGATCTTCCGGCGCAGGTGCAGGTAGACCAGGCCCTTGAGCGTGTCCGAAAGGATGGTGGCTATCTCATCCTCGGTGAGCGTCTTTTTACGGAGCCGCATGATGTCCGAGACACTGCCGGCACCGCAGTACTCCATGCAGATCCACAGGTCGTACTGCTTGAAGTAGGAGCCGTAGTAACGCACCACATACGGCGAATCGCACTGTTGCATAATGGAAATCTCCTTGATGATCTCGTGCAGGTCCGACTCGACCGGCACCAGCTTGATGGCCACGATGCTGCTGCTCTCCTTGTGCAGGGCCTTGTACACCGAGCCGTAGCTGCCCTCGCCCAGCTTGTACATGATGTCGAAGACCTTTTCCGGCGGCTGTAGAAGCGACTCCTCCGACAGCTTCTTTAGCTCCCCGTTTGAGCTGGAAGACATGTTACCCGCCATCGTTCTGCCCTCCCGTTGCGGCCACACACTAACTCGAGCACTATTTTACGCAGACTTTTCAGATTTAGCACGAAAACACAAAGATAATTGTCAATTTACAGCGACATTTTCTCACACGCATTGGTTCTTTATTCCCTTCCCGTCCAGTGTTGGCTAGATGTCAGATCTGCGCTGCCGCATTATCCAACACACCACCCGCACAGACAGGTGCGGGGTTGCCAGATGGTCGTAGAGTTCTAATACAAAATGTAAACAAAGCCCCAGTGTTGAAATGTGGGTTTGGAAATATAGCCGATAAAAAGGGTGGCGCGATTTTAAATTTAAATATTTAAGAAGACAATATATTTGTTTTTCATCCATATGATATATATAATTTGCCTTAATTTTTATTTGTTTTCCCGCAAATTAGCTTTTAGAATGCAACATTTTGAACTGTTGGAGTATGAGCGTGTTATCTTAAGTCAGCCATTATCTGCTTATAGTAATTTGCATATATTTCTGCTTACAACAATTACAACAGCTTTTATTAAAGAGCCTTATCGCCAGTATATAAACATCAGTATTTTAATTTAATTATTCTTGTTATTTTGTAAAGAACAAGGTATCTACAGGATTGTCTGTTTTTATGCCCTGATTGCTTATCTTATTCCCAAATAATTGGGTCAGAACACCATTACAGATTAAACACAATTGTATTTATATTATTTCCGCATTACTTCTTAATATTTACCAGATGTCATTTATAAATTATAATATATGTACATTGATTTTCGCCATATTGAACAATTTAACAACACAAAGGAACTTGAATAAGTAATCATGATAAGAAAATATAATGTATAGTAATGCTTAACACATGGTAACTGCTTATATGCTGTTTATTTTCTCTATGGAAGGATTCTTACATACCTTTCGATTCTATTAAAGAAAGTAATAATATACCTAGATTTTAAAATTATTTAATTTTGTAAACAATTTCCTTTCATTTAAAAGTCTTACCCATCTTATCTATAGGTTAGTTACCAATCTGTGGTATAAATATAAATATAATATGCTGAATCAATTGTATAGATTGTATTGATGGGCTCTTCCCGCAAGTCAGAAGTCAGAGAGAGATTGACAAGTGCCACATCAATTTGTCAATAGTAATCTACATTTTCCAGGAACTTTGATCCGTACCAGCTTCAATGGGGTCGCTGACCAGAAACGCTTAATGAATATAAAAAAAGTCTATTTGCTTGACGTGATTATGAGCTGGGTGAGGGGGTGACGAGACTCAACCGCAACAAAAACCGCAAAACCGGCGGCTTTTGGGGCTAACTAACCCGGAGACTTGCGTGGATGTGGAACCTTAATATGTCACCGCAAACCGGACGGAGGAGGAGGAGCGGCGTGACTGAAAAAGCTCGACTGAGCCCGAGGAGGCGGCATTTGTATTAGCTGTTGGCTTATCGGTCACTAAGCCGCCGGGCGCCCTAGCAACGCGCTCCATAGAAACGACACGACACCCAACAGCAACACCAGAAGGAGTCAGGCTAGAAAATTCCTGCGCTCGGCAGTTCGCTGTTTACACTACGTGGCTGCACATCGCGTTGCTCACCAAAACAATAATATGGCCCAGACGGCACGCACTGCCACGGGAAGGCGTCCGACGCACGACTACCATGCCACCGCCATCTCCCTGAAGCACCGCTCCAAGTCCGCGAATCCGGCTCAAGTGCGTCCGTTGAGCGGCATCCACGGGGCGGCCGTCTCCTCCAGGCCCCGCTACGTGCCGCCCTTCTCCATTCAGTCGCAGCAGAAGAACACCGTTGTCATCGATGGTCCCATACATGAGTCCGCTCCCAAGACAGCCAGCGCCAGGGGCCGGATCCCCAACCCGAAAAGTGCGTACCAACTAGTTTATTGTTTGTTTCCCTAATGATGTCGCCCCCATTTCCGTATACTGATTTCTAGGCCTGCGACGCCAGCAAAAGTCCATGTCCACCTTCAATTTGGGCATGGGCTTGAATGGTTGCCCTCTGGGCGGGGCTAATGACCCGGGGCGAGGCACACTATTCCGCATGTACTTCGATCGGGGTGACTTACCGATTAAGATGGAGTATCTCTGTGGAGGCGATAAGATCGGATGGACGGTAAGACAAGCTATGATATATGAGAATTCTATAACTTATAATTGGGGATTAGCTTTAGCTGAGGTTTTAGCTTAGTATTTCCAATGTTTTTTAAAGCTGAAAGGTGTTTAGTGACTAGTGATTTTTTTTTTATATCCTTGACCCTTAAAATATCAAGATTCCCCAACTTTTCTTAAATATATTAAGCGATTTTAGATACAAAACAAATCTATTTAATGCCCAAAATCCGAACTCATTCTTAGAGGTTTATTTTATTGGAATTTATTTATTTATTGTTATTTATTTATTTGAAATAACTATAGCACAAGTCTAAGTAAAAATCATTTGTTTCTTATCCCAGAAACTCGAATGAATGAATGATAACCTTTGACCACTTAAGGTCTTAAACTTTTAAAAATATATAGTGATGCTAAAATGGTATACTATATCCATATCTCTATACGATCCCTTTTTTCAACTAGAACTTTCCAATCTCTATATGTATGTATATCGACTAAGCCCAATGTAAGTCAATGTAAATCAAAGCCAATTTGAGGACTGTCACTAAGAAGGGTAACCTTACTGCTCAGTGACCTATTGGCGGCACCTGTATTTGAGTTGGTCTCGAATTTCGTACACCTGCGTGTCCAATTATTTCAAGTGTTGCAGCTAAAGGCAAAAAACGAGTAAATAATATGCCATTGTCTATTTCCGGAGTCAGTAGAGCAGCGGTGACGGGTGAGCAATTCCGATTCCGATTCCGCCCGGAATGCGACTGCTGACATTCAAAACGTCGCACCGTCAGTCAGACTTGCAGCTGCAATTCGGGTGCTTTTGGGGGGCGTACGCCCACACACACCCACCAGGTGTGTGTGACCCTTTTGCTGGTTCAATGTCACAGACCTTGGGCGCTTGATGCCGCCAGCGGCAGCGAATGGGTAATGGTGAATGCCTTCTTCGCGGTGCGTTTGTTTATCTAGGCCGAAACGCCGACGTGACAGCTCGTGTGCATATGGGTGATGTGTGAGTGACACTACCTAATTTGCGTCACTGGGTCGAAGGTCGCAGTCGGGGAACCCCCACATATGTGGTGCTTACGCAGCAGCGATGCCAGAGATGGCACCAAAGCTAAGCTATTGCCACCCGGAGACTCATCTTCATTGTACCTTATATTGTTTATTATATAATTTATTTTCCAAAATCAACTTACTCTCAGATCAGTTTAAACTTTAAACTATTAAAAAATAGGAAATCCCATGGACTCCATACTAAATGGGACGTTTCCCAATACAAACCCTTGCCACGTAGTACACTAATCACCTGAGCTGACAATGTATACCTCCCCTGTACCTTAGGACGACCCGAATTAAGCGCATTTTCACTACAAAAAAAATACTCGTTGATTAGACGTACATATACTATTCAGAGGTACAGGTACCTATTCCGCGTTATTCGCTTTTTGTTCTAAAAAATTTCCATTGACAACGTAAACAAACAAAGAGCATCTTAATGGGAATCAGCAGAGGCCTAACCGGCATAGCGTGCAAATGTACACTTGCCAAACTTGCACCACCGCCGGTACACGAACCAATTCCAAACTCCTAACTTTAAGCGCTGTACTAACTCCTCCTCCTCCACTCCCACCATCACTCCCACAATAGGTGGACATTGACAAGCTGGACTACAGCCTCTATTTGCCGCTCTTCTTCGATGGTTTGGCGGAGACCAAGCATCCATATAAGACCTATGCCCGCCAGGGTGTCACGGATCTCCTGCTGGCCGGGGGCGAGAGGATACACCCGGTGATACCGCAATTAATATTACCGCTAAAGAGTGAGTACCAGGAGTTGGCCTGGCACGCAAATGCCTTGGAAGTTTTTCGGTCTAATTTGCACCTTGCGAAACCAACTATGAATCCCAAAATCCGCCCCCACCCCATTTCAGACGCATTGAGCACACGAAACCTGGAGGTAATGTGCACGACATTGAAGATAATCCAACAGCTGGTCATGTCCTCGGATTTGGTGGGTCCCGCCCTGGTGCCCTTCTACAGACAGTTGCTGCCCATGTTCAATGCCTTCAAGGTGAAAAACTGTAAGTATTTCCCTATGAACTCTTCAAAGGATAACAATATATATAATCCCATAGTGAACTGTGGGGATGAGATCGACTATGCGCAGAAGAATAACCTGAATCTGGGCGATCTCATTGATGAGACGCTGCAGGTGCTGGAGCTGCATGGCGGCGAGGATGCCTTCATCAACATCAAGTACATGGTACCGACCTATGAGTCCTGCTACCTTAATTAAATTACACTACATGGTCTTGTCCCTTTACATACAACATCATAGGTATTTATTGAAATTTTATAAAAACTGCAGCATTAAATTGATATTTGTTACCAAAGCCGCTTTGGGTATAATGAGATTACAATGCTTGGAGTATAACATATATGTATATATAGAGTATATATGGCCAGCATCCTTTGTTATAAACAAAAGGATGCTGGCAGGATGGGGCACGACAACTGGACCTGGGGGAAGCCGCCGTGCCACCTTTAGGTCATCACTTGGTGGGGGCGTACTCGTTCTTCTTCACATTGTGCGGCGAATAGCGATTGTACAAGCCCCAAATGGAGTTCATCAGCTTGTCATTGTACTTGTTCGGTGAGTACTCGCGTTCTAAGGAGAGGAGATGGATGGAGAGATGGATGAGTCAGGGATTCAGTGACCCAACGGATCGATTACTTACGGGTTAGGCTATTGCCGTTGTCAAGGGAACCCTTATCGGTGGCAGCGGAGCGCAGACGGGCAATGATCATCTCGCGCTCGTTGAATTGCTCACGGATCTTGCAGGCGGCGAATGCACCTTGGGGAATGGCGGCCATCTTAGCAGCTGTATGGAGGAAACAATAAGTTATCCAGAAGGATAATGGATGTTGGGGATGCTCGACTACTCACCGGCTGTGGAGATGGTGGTCAGCAAGGAGAAGAACTTGAAGTTTTTGAGAAAGCTTTGCTTGGTCCAGCACTCGGCGAAATGCTGTTCGAGGTTGATGATTTTTACGCTCTGCTCCAGCAGCATTCAAAGTCCGGGATTTAGGGGTTTGGTGGGAGTATTTCGCCTTAACGGAAATGCTTCCCAGGATTCTGTAGCTTTCGGTTAATTTCAGCTGGTTTAAGCCAATTAGATTGTTGAATTTATATGGAGATTGTGGTCACTGTAGTGGTAGTAAGGCATTTAATGCCAATGGTTTCTAGACGTCTCGGCTCGATGATCTGCGAAAGATGTTTGCGGCACTCGGAGAGAGGAACACTCAGCACATGGGTTCAGAACTGAACTGAAGCTCACGCCGGGGAGAGCTGGCAATTTATAGAGCGCGTGCTCGGATCGGGGGCGATAAGTGGGGGACAGGAGATCAGGCTGCCTTGATATGGCGATTATGGAGCCGGCAATGGAGCGCCATTTTGTGACAGTTATCAGCTTCGATGGATGTTGTTTTGTTTCGGTTCTACTTTTTTGTTTTACAGCGAGACCCATTATTTCCCAGCTCTCCGGAATGGGGACTGTCGATGATGCTTCGAGAGGTGTCTGCGAGCTACGTGCCGGGAAGCAGATGTTAATGATACACACTTCCTTGGCAATCAAAGCCCTCGATCTGTAGACGATTTCTGCTCGGCCTAGCAAGATTAAGGGTTCGGTTTCCCATCTCGGTTGACCATGTACTCGAATAGAACTGGTAATATTCTCAGGCTACTTGTATAATATATATTTTAAGTACTCGAAACCAGATGAATTCGGCTAGCCACACACTTCAGCATATTCGTATAGTCAAGGAGCATTCTAGATTATATTAAAAACTGACCTAAGCGTATGTTGTTTATTTGAATTTTAAATTTAATGTTTGTTTATAATTGTGCTCCTCTCAAGGCAGTGTAGACAGTGTAGGTGCTTTTGCACCTTCGATTGAGGTGATTAGTCATGATTGGGAATTTTTCAGTATTTACATTTTTAATGATCAATAATGCACCAGGAGTTATGAGAGTTAGAATAAATAAAAACAGTTTTTTAATGCTTAATTGTTGATTTAATTATCTGGCATATGTATTTTTAAAAAGTTTCTCTCAGGATCTATCCGATTTTTTTATCGTTGGGATCTTGTCTAAGAAAACAAACCTAAATTGAAAAGGATATAGGAGCTAAAATCAATAATTCACACATAGTTTATTCCTTATGCTACTTTTTAATCAGTTTTTAAATATGTTTTCAAAATGAAAAAATTTGATAAAAGTATACAACTTTAGCATAATCACAATTAATAAATATAAATTATAATATTATGAACAAAACCCCATTATTAACCAGAAATAAATAGATCATATGAAAACGGAACTCACTGTGTTTGCCAGCGTAACACAAACACTTCACATTTACATTTATAATAAGAAATAATCGGAATAAAACAAAGAGATGCCAACTACTTAGTGAATCCAGTAAATAGGTGGGTGATCCGATGGGGATCATGGGTCTGACCCTCGTAAAACGCTCTCAATAATACGATTATAAATAAATCGCTTAGTCCAGTGACGCGCAATGTGTTTACTACAAAAAAAAAGTAATCTTTGCACAATGCCGGGGAGCCAGTCACATTGCTGATAGCATTAGCGTTGCAGATAGTGCCCTCTGGCTTCGAGAAGTATGTAGAGGTACAATATTCTCACAGTATTCACACAGTTCCAAACACAAATTTTTATTTTGGAACTACGAAAAAAGTCAAAAAAAGAGGCCTGAAATTAATTTGTGAAGATAATGAGCCACGAGCGTCTCGAAGATCACGTAGAGCGAGTCGGTTTTTTTCGTTTTTCGTGATTAAAGCCTTGGCGTGTGTGAAGATAATGAAGATCCTCGATGATTTTTCCTTTTTTGCAATGGCCTCCGCGGCAAAGTTCAACAATCCGTCAATGACTCTTGCAAAAATCTGACGTAACAATGTCAAGCATTAAAACCATTTACTTATCAGTCGCAGACACTTTTGCGGCAAACGTCGCTAACAGTTTGAATTTTTCAAAGGGCGCCAAACAGTCTCGTTGATTTTACAGCACTGCATGCGGCAGCACTCTTTCTCACCAGGTGGCAACCCTTATCACAGGCAGTGAAGCCAAGAATTGGTTACGAACGGCGTTGCTAAAATTAACAATTGCTCGTCAAAAGCGAGAAAAGAAAAACTCGGGAAATTGTTAATTAAAAGCGTGACCCAAATCCGAACACTCAGCCGCCGGACAACGCCATGACGTGGAAGAAGCAGCTGGCCATACTGGCCAAGCCCTACTACTGGGTGAACATCCTGCTGGCCGTCTCCTATCTGCTGGCCAAAAAGACCCAGTTCATCTGCACCCGCCTGTTCAGCCTGCTCGAGGAGGACGAAGCCTGCGACTTGGACAGCCGCGAGGTGGAGATCCTGTTCTTCCTACTAATCGTGGTGATGATCCGTTCGCGCAAGACGGGCGCCGTGACCATGATTAACTACCTGTCGTCGTCGTTCCTCTACACAAAGGTTGCCAACGCCATCCTGTGGGCCTACGCAGACTTCCGCTACGGCCTGGGCTTCCTGCTGGTCTGCGTGCTCGTGGGCATGGTGCTGCCAGAGCCCTCGTACCGCGGCCCCGAGCACATCACCTACTTCCGAAACTCGCAGGTGTTCGAGGAGGAACTCGTTCGCGACAAGCGCACCAGCTGGCTTATCTGCTTTTACACGGTGTGGAATCCCAGTTGCGTCAATTTTGCACCTATCTTCGCTGAGCTCTCGGCGGAGTACAACACGGACCACCTGAAATTCGGCAAGATCGACATCGGACGCTTCCCGGACGTGGCGCAAAAGTACCGCGTCTCGGACAGCAGCTTCTCACGCCAGCTGCCCACTGTTGTGCTCTTCCAGCAGGGCAAGGAGGTGGACCGCCGGCCTTGCGTCGACAACAAGGGCAAAGTGCAAAAGTTCTTCTTCTCCAGCGACAATGTCCGCGCCACCTTTGGACTGAACCAGTTGTACAAGGAGGCCGTGGAGCGGCTGCCTGCTGCCCCCAAGGAGTCGAAGAAAGCACAGTAAAGACACAATCATCCACCAGCTGCAACCTCATCTCATTTCTGCGTGCACGTGCTAACCTATGTGTTATTTGTCTAGTTTTTAGTTTATTTTAAATTATTGAGTCGGTTTGAGGTCGCTGCCACCGCCGGAGACACGTACAATTGCACTAATAATTGCAACGTGCGCACTCATCGCGTTGCCATTGTATAAATTATTTATGTAGCTTTGCATTTGCGTATTTAATTTGTAGCTAATAACGAGTTTACCAAATATATTTTGACTAATGTGGAATGAGTTAACGAGAAATGAGTTTGTATTATTTACCCTCCCAAGTACTACTGTTTTATTCAATTAGCACTACTCAAACGATCATTTCCGTTGCTTGTTTAAGATGCAAAGCGAGAGACTTCAAGCGTCAATTGGAAGTATAAAGAATGATATTCTAGCTGGAAATGGAGCTATATAAATTAATAAAAAGGAAAGTTTGTCCTAATAACTACGGACAAAACATGTACCGTTTAATACCCTTTCAGGGTAATATAAATTTAGTCAGCAGCTTGCAACTCAGGGAAGAGACATTTCCGACCCTATAAACCATATATATTATTGATCAGCATCAACAGCCGATTCGATCTGGCCATGTCCGGTAGAAAAATAAATTTTCGAAATTTTTTCAAATTTTATAAGGGGTAATTGTCAAAATTTGACAAAAAATTAAGTGTTTTAAATTTTAAAACTAAATATGCAGGTTTGTTAACGTTAAAAAAAACTAGCACAGAACAGCTTTCAGAATTAAAATTAATGCATTTTTGACTTAGTTATGATTGCTTCCACATCCGAACCCATGACCCTATGGCTAACTGCAAGGGTAAACAGCTTAGGCTTCTTGAAATGACCTTTATTGTTTTTTTTAATGAAAGATACCTTTATTTAAAATTAATATAAACTTCTGGCAAACATATTTTTCAGTGTTTCTCCTTTTGTATGGTTCGAAACTAAGAAACCTAGGTTGTGGACCCTGCTAACTCATGTTAAATTCAAATTTTTTGAAATAAACTTAAATATCCCATGTCTTTTCTTTTAAATTGTGATAACATGCCGTGAAACCCCCAGTACCCCCGCTTGTTTATAAAAAATATAAAATGTAAATATAAAATGTAAAGGGGCCAAGCCGTCGTTACTGCGAATGTGTTAAGCGAAATTGTATAACAATGGAAATGGCACAACAAAACCGTTTCCGGCGTGTTGCGCTCCGCAATGGTTTCCCAGACATTGGGCCGTATAGACGGGCCATAATATATAGATATGCTCCTATGGCGAGAAAGGACGTACTCACCCGGCCAGACGCAAATCCCTTTTATCCATTCAATATGCCCACAAACACACACACACACACACAAAGACAGTGATTGCGTGGAATATAAATGCATAAATACAGGCGAGTGCACACCCACCCACCCACTGACGGCAGTCATCCCACAGATGGGAGCGAAAGGCTTTTGCGGTTAATATTTGTATTTTTACTTTATTTTCAATGAAACGGCATGGAAATGGCCATTGCATTGTACATGTATTGTGCTCCCATTGCGTATGGTAAATAATACGATTGTCTCACATGAGCCTGGCCGTTTTATTTGCGCCAAAGTTTAAATTCCCCCATTGGGGAAATGGGAGACAAGATTCCCGCCGAACTGGAGCAATTATAGCAGCGCCTGTTCCGGCGTTTAATCATGGTTCCAGCGCCTGCTCCTCCTGTATCAGCTGTCGTGGCCAGCAGTCGGTGGTATTCGCATTTTTACCGGAGGTCCTCCTACGACCCAACGCTGTCACCCGCTCCTCACGGCCAAAATCCAATAAGCACTTGCCTCCCAGCGACAGCAAAGCGCATTGTCGTCGCTATTTTCACGTTGATTTCCCTCATTGCTGCTGTCTGCTGCTCCCCCGAAACCAGTGCTGGCCACATTCAATTGATTTTGAGTGATTTTTTGGCCGATACCCTGGCGCTCAACCACAATAGGGGGAATGTATCTAATAGGATTTAGATAGTCCTTTAAATATTAGGATTTCCTGTGAGAACACCTTCTAGGCACAAAGAGCAATATTTCATTCATGATTTTAATGTATTCCTTTTTGATAATGTGTTCCCCAATTTCTCAGGTAAATACAGATATATTTACTAATATATTTCCTAGACCTAGACGCAGGGTAGTAAGAGTCCCAGAATCTATTGATATTTAATGTTACGTCTGAGTTTCGCTTTGGGTGCCCGTATTTTTTATTGCGTTTTTATGTCAACACCAGCTGGCAGCGTCTTAATATCGTTCGGTCGAGCTGCCTTTGGCCTGGAGTGGGTTTTTGTGTATTTCTGTCAATTGCTCACAATTAAATTAAAATTCAAGTCAATGCCAGTTGCCGTTGAATACGCAAGCCGAAGCCGCAAGGCAGGACAATTGAAGTCAGGCACACAGGTGTTTTCCTTTATTACTTAACGTGTGGTATTTCACAAAGCGATTAAATAAATCAATTTTCGTTTAAGATTAGATTAAAGAAAGAAAGTGTCCCATTTGTAAGGTATATTGCTTGAGGGAGAATATTTATTTGTTTGGTATATATGTATGTATGTAATTATAGACTTAAAATTGTTAAATCGCTGAAGGAGACATTTTAAAAGGCAATTAATATAAGCTGATTGGAAATTTGGACAGTAAAATATTTACTATTATTCTACATCGATTTTAAGAAATTCCACCATTTCAGATTTCTTTAAGGCCAATACTAAAGGGGAGCGAGTTTTCAGTAAAATGTAATTTAATTTAATTCTCGAATATGGGTTTCGCAAAATAGGCCGTTTAAAATGAATTCAAAACTTTAGGTAAAAGCTCCGCTCTTCAAAAGAGTTAGAGAGAAGGCCACATTATCATCTGGCATACTGTAATACGCTCTGTAATATTCCATTATTGCGTTGCTGTGAGAAGGTCGCAAGCTCCAGAATTTGCAAGATCAAAGTGTCAAAGTGCTCATATTTAGTAAAAATGTGCTGATTTTCTTTAGCTTCTTTGTTTATTATTGAATGTTTTAGTGATGGTGATCATGTGCAATTGTGTTATTATTGAAAACAATCAAATAATCCCAGTGTGTGTCTCCCGTTTTACATACATACATACATGCATATATAAATTTGGAATAAGCTCTCAGTTCTGCATGGCAAAGGTGTTGCATTTTTGTTGGTGGTGTGATTTTGCTGATAAGCAAGTATGTATGTACGTACAAGTGCATGCATATATCAAGAAGCCAAACTATATTAATGTATGTACAAGTGCATGCATATATCAAGAAGGCAAACCATATGTACATATGTTTGTATGTATATTCAAGAAGCAAAACCAAAAAGCTTGACGGTGACCGCCTATTACAGTTACGCCAATGGGATCCCGTTGCTTGTACTCTAAAGTTTAAATGCACATACATACATACATAACATATGATCTGAATGAAATGGGCGTGGAAAAAGTTTGCCAAGTGACGTGAAGTTCTAAACGCATTTTTTTTATTTATTTTTTGTTTTTTTTCTTGTGCTAAAAATCAAATATGTATTTTGAAAATATTTATATTTATATTATTATTAAACAAATAATAATAATATAAATATAAATATTTGTTTTATCAAAAAGCCAAAGAGAATAATAGAAAATTGTATATATGCATGTATAAATGTTTGTAAATATACCCAACTCTTCCCAAAGTGTTAAGTGTTAAGTATTAAAATCAAGAACTATAAAAACAAATGACCATACCATATCAAATTGGAAAGAGGAAGAGAAATATATATTTTTATGGGGTGAGTGCAAGAAAGTACATTAATTTATACATTCTACTATTTCTGCTATTATGATTTGTTTTTCATCATTTATGTTATTCTTTACATTTATTTTTAAACATTCTCCTATTCCTACTATCATGATTTGTTTTTCTGCATTTATTCTTTACATTTATATTTTATACATTCTCCTATTTCTCCTATTATGGTTTGATTTTTAGCATTTATTCTTTATATTATTTATTATTATTATTTCTGCTTAGTATTCAGCTTTTGTGGGTGGGTATATCCAGTTAATACTGTCTCGAGGGCCCTAAAAGCCAGTGATGGCCAAAAGTTGTCCCTATTAAAATCTTACTTATTTAAAAATATATTCTTTCGACAAAAATAATATCTATTTATTAATATTTTACCGATGTTAATAATAAATAATAATAAAAAAATCGCGCCTTCTCCGTGACAATGCTTATTGCAGCATTGCCGTGACCAGGATTCGAACCTGGGTTACCACGGCCACAACGTGGGGTCCTAACCACTAGACGATCACGGCTACGAAGGCACATAGTTTAGTGACCGCAAATTGCGAACAGAAGCAGCATGCTCTGTCTTTGGCTTCAGATTTGCCTGCACTTCATTGCTCTTTAACAACTTGTTTTTATTTTTTCGAGCAACTACCTCTCTAATCACCGCAGTTACAAAAACAACGGTGAAAGTACGGGGTTGCCTTCAAAGCAACCACAGACAGTCCAACAGACCGACAGACCGACTGCCGATAAACAAGATTTTGGTTCATAAATTAATTTAAATTTGCCAAACCAGCAGAAGTGGTAGAAGGGTTTGCTGGGGCGGGAATGGGGCGTGGTTTCGTTCTGCTATCAGCATCGGGTTTTGCTGTTCTCCGGGTCGAAATACTATATATTTTTCGGGGGGCGCCCTGGTGGTTGCGAAACCAAAAAGTTTTAAAAATAAAAACCTTGAATACATTTAGAACGATGCGACACCAAAGGCATGGATTTATTTGAATTTCTTTTACATATTTTATGGACAAAGACCGAAGAATTTAAAAATATTTATTTACTCAGCAGGGATAAACAAATTCGTGAGCTGTGATCCCCCAATGGGACTTTGATATGGAATTGAATTTGTTTCTTTGTAGTTGCTGGTTTGATTTAAATAGTATGGTTTTAAATATGGATTTTCTTATTTTGTTTTCCTTATAATAAATGTAAAATTATTTCGTATAGTTTTTGAAAGCATAAATCTCTCATTTGTTTATAAATCTTAGTGCCTGCGCCTTATCAACCATCAACTCAAAGATGATAGCGTATTTCTTATCAATACAATGTATTTTATACTGGCGTGTTTTGGGTTTTAAGTGCAGTAAATTTAAGAAAATGGTCGTTTTTTAACATACACATATTTAATTTATTATTTGGTGAATTTGCCCCTAAACTTCCCATTGATTCCCATCTTTTCCATCAGTTTTGATAATGTTTGCTTTAATTAATTAGATTATTTAAAAAATACTTTAATTATCAGCGCATAAAACGCGTCATTGAATTTACACGTTTTTTATTCACATTTAATGATAACTTTGCCATACTCACTTGCTGAAATATACAAAAATTGAAGCCCCTTTTTTCAACTGGCCATTCATGAAACTTGTGCCAAATGGATTTATTTATTCACTAGGGATTAATACTTCATTGGCTCGGTTTGTGGTTCAATTAATAAATATAAAGGGTCAGCCTTTTCGCTATCCACAAACACATACCTATATGTAGTATCCTCGGCATTGGGTGAAATTTTCGCTATTCCTGCAACAATTCTGAACAGGTTTCAATGGCCAGCAACCGAAACTCTCCGACCATAACTTGTACAATCCAGTTTGATTTAATTTTGCGTTTAACGATTCTGTAATTACCCATAAGTGCAATATTATTTAAATGGCACTTTTGTTTTTATTGTGTGGCCCATTTGCAAACACGGTTCCAGAGGGGGAATCGTCGTCCTCGTCTTTTTGTAGCTTCGAAGCCCTAAAAAAATTGAAATGTATTTACATGAAAGCTGCAAAACACACACATAAGAGCCATGAAGTCCTTGCGGGGATTTTTTTGTGTGTGTAACTTCTGTGGCCTGTTTTTTGAATATAGGACGCTTTTTGTGTATGGTGAATGTACCCGCGGTCCAATAACCACGCAAAGGTTTTGGGGAATGGCGCATCGGACCGCATAACAAAGTCCGTTCCGTATTTGTGAAAATATTTTTTTTGACAAGTGGCATATAGCTTTACGCTCCAAGTGTGGGTTCCATGGACAATCTCTGCGATAATCGGCAGGACACAAAAACGTGCCATTAAATGGCAGATCTTTGAACTATTGCATTCAAACACAAACCGGATTTTCTATACTATATATCGGTGGTGTCGCCACTTAGTCTGCCAGGTTCAGGGTCAACTTTTTGCGTGTAGTATCGATGGAATGCCACCCATATAAAAGTGGCCAAGAGCACGCCAGTTCCAATAGTCGGCCACAAAATGCTGGTCGACACGGAGCTGGCGAATAGAACGATCCATTCGCCTTACAGCTTTGACATTCCGCACGCCTTCATCTTTAATGACAGCCTGCAACCGGAAGTTATCTACGGCGGCCCATACCTGGAGATAGTGAAGCACTTCGCCAAGGTGCACCACTACCGATTGGAGCTGGATCCCGTTGAAAGTCTGCCCAAAAAGTCGGTGGTGGAGGGGAACATAGCCTCGGGCATCTACAACCTATCGCTGCACGGAGTTACTATGCGTCCCGACAAGATCGGAGAGTTCTCGGCCCTGACGCGGTACAGCTATCCTCTGGAGCTGATGATGAACTGTGTGATGGTGCCACTGGCTCCCGAGCTGCCCAAGTGGATGTACGTGGTGTGGCCGCTGGGCAGATTCATTTGGTCGTGCCTCATCCTGGGCACCCTGTACGTGGCACTTCTGTTGCGTTACGTTCACTGGCGGGAGACGGGGAGTGCCACAAAGTCCTATACACGGAACGTGCTCCACGCCATGGCCCTCCTAATGTTCAGCCCCAATATGAACATGTCGGTGAAGTTGAAGCATGCCTCATTGCGTGTGATCGCCTTCTACACGCTGCTCTTCATTCTGGGCTTCATACTGACCAACTATCACATCAGCCACATGACGGCCTTCGACATGAAGCCGGTGTTCCTTCGGCCCATCGATACCTGGGCGGATCTGATCCACTCAAAGCTGCGCATCATTATTCCGGAGACTCTGGTGGAGGAGCTGCGCTGGCTGCCGGCGGTGAACACCACTCCGTTGGATCCGCAATTTGATGCGCGTAGCTGACAGGAGTACCAGGCCCTGCTGGCGAGTCCTTCACGCTCCTATGCGTATGTGGTTACCCTGGATGCATGGCTATTCTTTAATCGGCAGCAGCGTGTGCTCATCCAGCCGTATTTCCACCTTTCCCAGGTGTGTTTCGGCGGTCTCTTTAACGCCCTGCCGATGGGCATCAATGCTAGCTTTGCTGGGTCCTTGGACCGCTTTATCCTGAATGTCTGGCAGGCAGGACTGTGGAACCATTGGGAGGAGGTGGCTTATCGCTATGCCAAGCGGGCTGGCTACGCCAAAGTGTTCCTGGACACATATCCCGTGGAGCCGCTGAACCTGGAATTCTTTTACACGGCTTGGGTAGTTTTGGTTTTGGGAATACCTCTCAGTTCCTTGGTATATGGCCTAGAGATATTTATTCATCGTCGGAGGGAAAGGCGAGTGCAATATGATCGCTTCGAGTGTTGTGATGGATAATGTTTTGTACAAAAGTGGAATTTCTTTTAAATACTTTCCTAGAACCAATAATCAAAGATGTAATGAATTTATATTAAACTTTAATGGTAAATAAATACCACACTTCACGGCTTAGATACTAACAAGAAAGATAGATTAATTATCAGGGGATTCATTAACGAAAAGCGTCAAAGGGATGTTTACTATATATTTTTTTTGAATGCACAAGTGGCTTTAGCATGCAGGGCTCACCTTTGTCAACATAAAACGACGCATAACATAAAAGGATATTTTAATTGGTGCTCTGGGAGACAAGGTTCAAGCTCTCCCACAGGACCCATTACCCCGACCATGGAAAAGAGTTTCCAATCGGGGCAAACAACTTAACCTGCTTAGCCAAACGTGGGTTTTCTCAATTAATTCGTGGAGCTTCTTGAGCTTAGTCATGCGGTCTTCGGTACTTATTGGGCTTTTCCTACTGTCGATTTGCCATTTGAACGAAGGATGGAAAATGCAGTTCATCGTCGATTTGTTGACTCCGTTCGCCCAACAGAACATATTCCAGGAAATCGTGTGGTTTGTCAGTCCGTACCAGCGCTTGGAGCAGACTGACGAGTTCATAAGGCGCATTGACGAGGCTTTCGGGACGACAGCCACTCAGACGGTGGTTAATAACAACACGGAAATGCGGATGATACACTCGTCGGCTCGAAGGAACCACATGAGTTTTGTGTTCACCACAGGGGCAGATGATCCCATTATGAAGGTGTTCAGCAAGGTGCTGCTGGGGCGACACTTTTACTTTACGATGATGATGTATGTGGACAAAGTAGGTGACATGCAGCCCATCCATGAACTTTTACTCTTCGCCTACAAGCAGCAGTTTATCAACTCGATGGTCTACTTTGAATCGGAGGAGGGCATTAATCAGATATTTGGAGTGACCAAGTTTCCGGCTATGGTATTCGAGAACCGAACTGATTTCAACACTTATATAAGAAAAATGTACAAGAAGATCCTGAATGCCCGTTCCGATGTGGAAGGTTACGGATTCGCCACGCCCTTGCGCCAGGACCTGCCGCATCTCTTCCAGTCCCGAGGTCGAAACGACGGGAGCACCTACCGGATCATCGAGACCTTTGTCCAGTTCTTGAACGGCACTTTTTCGGAGCTCCATATGCCGCCCGATGCCCTGGGTGGTCAGGTGATCAATATGAAGCAGGCTCTGCAGTTGGTTCGAGAGCGCCAGATGGAGTTCTGCGCCCACGCCTACGCCTTGTTTATGCCCGACGATGAGCTGGAGAAGACCTATCCTTTGCTGGTGGTGCAGTGGTGCCTGATGGTTCCCCTCTACAACAGTGTATCCACGTACTTGTATCCCCTGCAGCCTTTCGCCTGGAATGTGTGGTTCTTCGCCCTGGGAGCTCTGTTCGCCCTGATTTTTCTGGAGTTGATGTGGCTCAGGATGTTCGGAGGAGATTGGTTAGGGTATCATGGCGCTGTTCTGGACTCCTTTTGCTACATAATCAATGTGCCCACTGAGGGCCAGTTGCAGCAGCCTTGCCTCCTTCGATTTCTGCTCCTTGGCACGGTCTTCTTCCATGGATTCTTCCTTTCGGCCTACTACACCTCAAATTTGGGCAGCATTTTGACTGTGAATCTCTTTCACGCTCAGATCAACACCATGGACGACATTGTGAGTGCCCAGCTGCCGGTCATGATCATTGACTACGAGATGGAGTTTTTGCTGAATCTGAATAAGGAGTTGCCCGAGGACTTTCTCAAGCTTCTAAGACCCGTTGACTCGGGCATTTTTGCAGCTCACCAAACAAGATTCAATAGCTCCTTTGCTTACTTCGTGACCGAAGATCAGTGGCAATTCCTTGACGAGCAGCAGCAGCACTTGAAGCAGCGTCTTTTTAAGCTGAGCAGCATTTGTTTCGGATCCTATCACCTGGCCTTTCCCCTGCAGATGGACTCATCCTTGTGGCGAGACATCGAGTACTTCACATTCCGCATCCACTCCTCGGGTCTGCTCAACTTTTATGCCCGCAGCAGTTTCGCATCTGCACTCCATGGCGGTTTGGTTGAGCGATTTCCAGAGAATCAGGAATACACATCCGCTGGGATGCAGCACCTGGCCATTGCCTTCATTTTTCTGCTGGTGATGAGTGCTTTAGCCGGGATTGTGTTTGTTATGGAGATGCTATCTAAAGGCACATCGCGTAGTCTTTTTGTTTATCAATGAACTCGATTAAGAAATTCCCCTATATAAAGTTCTAAACTATTAAATTTTATTGATTATATTGACAGATACATAATAAGATATGCAAGCTATTGATTATCTAGGTTTTACACCCTCATAAAGCGCCTGAGAAAGGACCTAGGTTTGCGAGTTATTTTAACAACAGGGCGCTGCCTGAGGGTCACATGCTCATACCACTTCATCTCCGCAGCAAAGGCCATTCCAGATACCACAAGGCCAAAGGTCCAAGTGCGTATCATGCTCGAAAAGAAGCTCAGGCTGAGGGCCATGGGCTCCTCATCGATAAGATGCACCTGGATGCGTTTCAGATGCACTGCCTCCCAGAAGGCCTCTCGCTTCCAGTGGTTCATGAGGCCCGCCTGCTGGGCGATCATGATGTACTCCGTCATGGGTGAGCGTAGGTGGGAGTCCGCGTGCATGGGATAGACGTGATAGAAGGGTCCCTCGCAGATATCCGTCAGCCGGAAGATGGGCTTCCGCAGATGGTGCTGCTGCATGTCCAGGAATCGCCAGCGATCGCTGCTAACGGTGTAGCCAAAAGATGTGTTAAATGGCTCTCGATGAAGGTCTAGCATGTGCTTGTCCACAATATCCACCTGACCCATGTAGCTGGCCGGATATTGCAGCGGTGACTTGGCCATCCTTTCATGCTCAACGGCTAGCATCAGAATCCTCAGATTGGTATCCACCACATCCTGCACCGTGTTCACCTGTCGCGATGGCGGGGCCGTGGTGAAGTAGCTGGTCATCCGCGAGATGTACATGTTCGATGTGACGATGCCCATGATGGCCAGCACAATGTTCAAATAGCGCATACGCAGCGTTGGCGTGCGGACGATGAATGTGGGTGTCATGTAGGTCAGCGTGCTGATGGACTGCAGGAAGGCGGCACTGAAGTCCCGGGGTCTCAGGGGAGAGCACAGCCAGATGGCCGTGGCTATGTAGAGTGTGAAAAGGATGATCAGGAGCCACACGTTTCCCTGGAGTGCCTCGCGCATGTATTGGTCAGCCGGTGATTGGTTGCGATAGGGAACCATAATGCAGCAGTCGTTGATGCCGATGGGATAGCTATAGCTGACCACATACATGGTTGTGATCTCGGTGAAGGAGTGTATCAGCGTCTCGTACACCCCCTGGGCTACCAGATCCAACAGGTTCGTCATGTTCAGGTAGTCTATTGTCATGTTTGCGGTGGTGTCCACCAGTGAGGCGTTCACGAACTCCAGGAATCCCAGAAACAGGTTGCCACTAGTTCCATGTACAAAGTTATTCTCGAACTTATTGGTGGGACGATCAGACTTGAAAACGCGAGGCAGATCGTAAAGGATGGGCGTTCTCACCTCGTAGCCTTTCATGTTCTTGGCGTACTTCTGGAAGAACTCGTCCGGTCTCCATGTGTCCGTCTTGTTAATAATCGAGGGCGTCGGATAGGGCTCCAGCAGGAACACATTGTTTTTGATAGTGACCAGAACGGTGTTGATAAACTGCTGTTTCCACACCCAGTCATAGATGTCCTTTATCTCGGTTGTAAAATCCGCAAAAGACTCAAAACTCGACTCAAAGTCGCGGCTCTTGAGGCTGGGATACAGAATGAAGATCGTTTTGAGCCACCGAATCCCCTTCAGACTCTGGGTGGCCAGCTCCATAATGGGATCATCGCGACTCGTGGTGTATATCATCACCAGCGATGGAGTGCTGATGAACTGCATCATCGGTATCGGCGCATAGTGCTCGCGGGTTATAATCACATTTGGAGCCAGTGGAAAAAATGTCCAGAAGTTGTGAAAGAACTCCTGGGAATCCTTGTTCTTCAAATCCAGATTCTCAGAAATGTAGAAGATAAAGTTCTTAAAGTGATATAATTGCGTGATGCTAAAGAGCATATCCAAGACGAACGAGTTGTCCAACAATTGGATGCTTCCCGCAGCTCCTGTTCCATTTGCCATGGAAAGATTGCGAGGGAAAATGTCCCGCTCCTGGAGAATGAGCTCTGCAGCCCGGTTTGCCATATTGGTTGGGCGAATGCCGGCGGGTTACTGTCAAGTTGAAGGACGCCTCGCCCTTTGCATGTGGACACTGTGGATGGCGGAGCATTTAGCTGGTTATGGTTATGGTTTTACCAGGTCAAAGTCAACGCCAGTAATGACAATTCAGAAGCACAGGAGCGGCTTGACTAACTTGAGGAATTTAAAACCCTATATCTAGTATAATTTTGATATTATCTTATACGTAAGTTTAAACTTTATATAATCAGAATGTTTTTATTTGTATTTACAATAACTCTTTCTTTAACTCTAACTACCAGCAGCGCTCCTGGTCTTTAACAAGCCCTGCTTGTTGAACACGTTTATTAACTCATAAGGCCCTATTGCAATTTTATCTTAAGTGCAAATCGTACATATTTAACTTTTCGCGGTTTATGCGACAAGAGCCATATAATTGGACAAATAGGTTCGGGTCATGCGATGGGACAAACCTGCGGTGTGCGGACCATCGCATTGTTTTAGCCAAATGCATGCAATCTGGAGCATGGAGCCACTAAATTGGATTCGACAAGGTGGGAAATGGGCCATTTTGTAGGCCTTAATTTGATCAATGAATTTTAAATGGCAATCAACAAGCTAAAGCTACAATTAAATGCACTTTAAGAAAATATCACTAAATAATTTTAACAATTTTAACAGCCTGCAAACTGTAAAAGTTTATTTCTATGCAATAAAAGTTATGTTGACCTGTATATTCAACAGTTAATTTTTTCATAACTATAATACAGTTTTTTATATCCATAAAAGAACAAGTACAAATTAATCCACAAACATGATTAAAGGAATTATGTATTTTCCATGGAAAATGTCAAAGCCAGAACCCATGAGCTGGGCGGTTAAGCTGCTTCTGTCCGTTGCATCCTGTTAGTGGGAATTAAATGTTAGCCAAGGCCTTTTCGCTTCACCAGCCTTAAAACGATGTCGAAGCGGTGGCATGTTGCATTGCTCATTAAAATTTAATTGCTGCAAAAGTCCATAATTGACGCAAATGCCATGAGCTCGGGTGCAGGCACGAAGGCTTATCAGGCCGTGTCTTGGCATTTTGAGGCCACATAGCTGCCTGCTAATGCAATTAGCCACGAATACTCACACCCACAAGCACAAGCACAAGCACAACCACACCCACCCACACACACACTCTCTCCCTCCCTCACATGTTGGCCAACGCGCTGACAAAGGCTCAAAGCCATCTTCAGTGTTTGCGGCTTAGAATATTTATGATTGATGCAGCCGATGCTTTTTCCTCTTAGCCAGCTCTAATGTCCTATTGACAGCTCGGCTTGTGTTGCTTTGTTTGCCCGATGATTTGTCAAAATGTTGTAATTTAATGCTCTGCTAAATCGGTAGTAGTCTTCCTTGCTTCCTAAAATGGCAAGTTCGTGGGAATTTAGCCAGTTGTCTGACACCTGGAGCTATACTTTAGTCGAAACTTCTGGGGCTGAGTGCATCCCCGGTGACGCTTTTGAAGTCCTGGCCAAAAGCAGCAGCAGCACTGTGTTTTCCCATCTTGGCTGCTTTTCTTTTTTCAGCCCAGTTTTTCTACTTTTAATGTTTGCGCCGAAAGCGTTGAAATACATTAAGCCATATTTTGGGCTTAGTGCCTTTTCCTCTGCTCAACAAGGGAACAGGCATTTTTATGGGATCAAAAGAAGGTTGATTTCATATTTTTTAAATGATTTATTTTGTATGGGGTTTTGTTGTTTTATTTGGGTAAACTTTAAAGTTTAATTTGTAGCCATTTTAACTATTATTTTAAGTCGTCATATAGGCATTTGATTTGCAAATAAGTTTTGGGTATTGAAGAAATCCTTTATTCAAGTTTTCTTAAGGGGTTAAGGTGCTCACACTGCCTGTCTCTCACTTTCTCTGAATCTCCCTCTCTCTCTCTATATCTATTGCTAGAGAAATCTCTTTCTCTCTAACTCTCTCTGCTTTCTCTAGAGGTAACTCTCTCTCTCTCTCTTGCTCTCACTTTCTCCGTTCTCTTTACTCGGAGACTATAAATACAGGCACGACAGTCGCTCTGACCTCAGTCTGTCCGCGTCCTCCCCTATGTTTACATCTATAGTGATTGTAATAAACCCGAAAATATCACATCTGGATATCCATGAAGAAGATTACTTTGGTGAAACCATTTTAAGAAGAAGCATCGAGGATCAAATAAGTAAAATTAACCATTTAACCAATATATTTTTGTCAATTTATCTTTAATAATAGGGCTCTTTGGCTAAATTTTCTGCGACCCACAATGTTTTAAACCATTAAACGAGCTAAGTGGCCTTTATCCAATACGATACTGAAGTGTATTTACCCGAAAAAATCGCACTTAACAGTGTCAGCTGCATTACAAATGCCAACCAACTCGACACAATCTGATATTAAGTTATAAATTTGCCAGCCATCCAGCCAGCCAGTGGTGCCCTCTGGCCTCAGTCTTATATTTTTGTTTGCCGTATCTCATTTCAGCTTTTTTTAGTTACACTTTATTTTTCAAACAGTGGCTGGTGTGCGAGTGGTGTGCTATGTGGTTGGATGTGGATGTGGGGACGTGTTTTTGCCATTTCTAAGCGGAAGCGAAATGTGCGAGAGTAGTTGAAAGCCCTCGAGTTGTTTCGTTGCCGTTGCTCATGTCAAGTGCCAGCTGCTGCCATGGCCCCCGGAACTGGGTCCAGGAGGAATCCTATCCGCCGACAGTTTGGGCGGCTGCACTTTCGACATTTAGCGCCGCCCACATGGTTGGTTACCTCCCGAGAGTCCAGCATCCACCTGCCTTCCTTAACCCCTGCCATCCTTAACCCCGGCTGTCCCTTCCCCCTTGGGCCAGCAGGTGCATTTGACTGGCACCACAGCATGTGTACGCTGTGCCGTGCCGGCAGCCAACTGTTAAGCGAAATTACCGCAATCTCCGCACGTCGAACACTTTTTAATGCTGAAAAATGTATTTTCTAATTTTCCCCCGGCTGCCATGTTGTCCACCGGAGGAAGTACCCTCCACTCATCCCCCATTCGGTCAAGTTTATTTGGCTTTGTCAGTTTTTCAGGCTGAGAAGAGCAGGTGCGAGGAATGAGTCTCAAACTGGCCAGGCAATGTTAATGAAAAGTAATTATTTTCCAGACCCGAAAACTTCAGGGTGAAGAAATGGCTTTAAGCTGCTTGCCAGCTGGAAGGACAGCCAGTGTGTCGAGTATGTCCTTTGCACATTAATATCGTATCCTTGGCAAAATTTTCATATTACTTACACAACTTGACGTGGCTGCTGAGGCTAAAAGCTTCGGAAAAAAGGCAATTTCCGCCATCTTTGGTGCATGATAAGAAAAGAGAGTGAAAGAGGAAAAAAATCACTAAAGCTGATTTGCCGACATTCTTAAAATTTGCGAGCCAGAGAAAATTTTGAGGAGACCCAAAAGAGTCTTGGCCAAAAAGTTGCCAAACTCTGTTACCAAAAAGAGATAATGAACTTTTATGGAACAATCAATCTGTGATTAAGTTCAAGTATAAAATAATATCCATTACACTGTAGAGTGCTAAAAGTATATTGTTAAGCCTTCTGCAAATTTATATATCATTTTACCAAGCATCAATTTGCATAGTTTTGCCAGGGAAAAGTGTTGCTATCTACCTTTTTTCACATAAGTTAACCAGAAAAAGTCCTTCCATCAACTCCCTACCTCCATTTCACTGTCTTAATTAAGACGGAACAGGTCTATTAAGAGAATTACGAGAAAGAATGATTAAAGAATTGCAGAATTCCGGCGAAAGTTTACCCACTTAGCCAACTGCTTGGCATTTTGGCAGCTGCCAGAGATTTCCTTCAATCCGTATAATTTAGCTATTTTATGCAGCGGCCAACAAGAGGCGGAAAAATTCACGAAACGTGAAAAAAAACAATGAAAATGCGCTTTGTTTTCATGCCTTTTCCTTCTCTCCCTTTGGCCTTTTACCTCATTATCTCTCCCTTTTGGCCAAGAGCCGTTAGTTCGCTAAACGAGTCGAGTCCTTTCCCTTCCAGCCCGATCCTTGCGCGCATTCAAGTGCATCTTCTGGCCAGCAATAATAATGTTTGCAATTAAACTAATGAAGACATTTGCCTCTGAACTAGGCAAGTCAATTAGAAGTTGCAAAGACCATCCTCCTCCATCGAGTAGTTGCATATTGACCACGCAACCGGCCATTCAGATGCAATCTACTCCATGTTAAGTGCCATGCTTTGACAGTGAACAATATTAATTGTCTGCTCTTTTTTGTTATTATTATTATGGGCTGTCCCAGAACATGACAGTTGAGATAGTGAAACATTGCATTCTGAAAATATCAAAATTACCAGGAGAATGGTGGTGTTGCTCAATAGTTTTATTTTCATTTGCATGAGCATCTTTACACGCAGATAAATATTGGGGGGAAAAGAGGGGCCTTTCTTACATTTACCAGAGTATTTTATATGTAGAGGTTTTCTATATAATTTCTATAAATTAAAGAATCGTTTCTATGACAGCTTTATGGTAGAGTGGTCAAACTTGCATAGATTCTTAAGCAGCTATATACTTTATTGATACTAAAATATATTGGCAATCAATACTCATTATGGAAAGAATCCCAATTGAGTAATTAATGCAAATTTAGAGTTGAAATTAATGTCAAGGATATAGTTAGCATTCTTTTTTCCCTCATAGACACAAACACAGCGTTTTTTTAACGTGTAAAAACTTACCTTACCCATGGACTCCTCCCTCCATTCTCTCTGTGCAATTTTGGCCAATACAAATATTTGTAGCTCAATTTCTCCATCCCCTGCTTGATCGCATAACATATCTGTGCATTTGGAAACCGCTGGCATAACAGCACAGTTTGATGTGGGGAAATGAATGCGACCTCTTGTGCCACAAGGATGTCACCAGCAAAAACACCCGCTTTGCGGATAAGGATGCGGATGCGGATGCACAGGATGGAAGCAACAGCAGCAGCG